TTATTTTTTTTTTATTTCAACAAGATCTTGCCTCAAATTTATTAATTAAAAAAAAAGAAAACCTTTTATATTATTATTTATTATATAAAATACATAACTTATTCTAATACTTGAAAAGATAAAATTCAGACTACTAAAAATAATCAAGTATTCAACATTCTAGATATCAACTGTTATATCATGTTTCCTTTTAACATTTCAGGAACATAATTATCTAAATTTAAAATTTGTAAATTCTCATTTGAAAGAGAAAAGTTAGCAAAATCAAAGTCAATCAAAATATATTAATTTTCATATTGTATATCTTTATGCATAATTGAATTAGATTTTATATTGTACAAGTCCTAATTAAATATATATCTTTATATTAGTTAATAATAAATAAAAATATATATATATATATTATTAAAAATGATACCTCTAAACAAGTTAATATATAGATCAAAGTTCTTAGTAATTCATTAAGATTTTTTGATTTTTTCTCTTTTCCCCTTGGCATCAAGTAAATAATATTCTCATGAAAACTAACTAATTTATCAACACATTTGATCTTGTAATTCTGTATAAAGTATTTGTTAAAAATATAAATTTGAAGACAAAAAAATAAAAAGATATTTTAAAACTTATACTCATTAATCCATAAATATTTTCCAGATGTTTTAGTTTCTGAAGAAAATATTTTTTTAATAACAACCAATTTCAATAATAGTTTCATTATTATTACATAATAAGATTTCAAAATCTGGTGATTCTCTTGAAGGAAAGTAAATTAGCATTTCTAATAAAATTTGAAAATCAAAAACATGAAGGAACTTACATATATTTCTAATTAAATTCATTAACTTGATTATATGTGTTAATTTGTTTAAATCAAATTCTGCAATTCTCTCACTATGAATGTCTGGATGTTTTCTTTTTTTGACTATTAATATTAATAGGTTCTTTTTCATCATTATAAAGAACACAAAAGGCAACAATAATAATATTGGCATAGTATTCAAAAAGATATGGAATGTCTCTATAATCCCAAGTATTGAATTTATCAATCAACTCCCTGACAGGTTCTCCTCTCCCACCTTCTCCCTTCTCTTCCCCACAAATAACACAAATGTTCTTCATTAGTAAAACAAAATCTGATCAATTTTGACCTATAAAACTTTTCATTAATACATGATATAATTCTATTTTTCAGTTAATGATTTAAATGAATTTATATTCCGATCAAACTCTATTGGTGGAATTTCATTAGAATATTTTCCAAATACTTGTAATAACTTGCTGATAATAGCATCCCAAAAGGAGTGAAATGAATCTTCTGTTTTTCCTGTTGGAGGAGTGTTAATTAAGCTTGATATTAATTCAATAAAAAATGCAGTACAACTTTCTGATTTGCTCTCTATAAAATATTTATCATGTTCTGTTGGGTCTATACTAAATGGTCCAATGACTGGAATTGAATAAAAAATTTCCTTGGAAAGAATGATTTTCACATTTGGTATCTCATTAAAAAAATATATAAGTTAATGACGTTCAGGGATTTTATCTGGACTTTGTAACCAATATTTCATGACTTTATTTGAAGGGTCTAAATACACAATAAGAAGACATGAATGCTGATTAATTTTTGATGCTGCATTTTAGTTTCCAATAAATAGACAAAATGAAATATTTGAACTCACCCGAAACACTTTTAGATTGTTCTAAAAGAAATAAAAGCAGACATATGTGAGAAAATATGGAAAGTAAAACACAAAATAGTTAATATTGTGACAGATATGCAAGTATTCCAGCAATTTTTGACTAATAAATTTGTTCTTACCTAATTCTTTAATGGAAAAAGGATAAGCAAGGTAATTCAAGAGTTAATTCAGGACAAAGCGGGCAAATAACCAAAGAAAAATATAAGTTAACAATGTTGTAAATAGTATGTCAAAAAAATAAAACGAAATGGAATGAATGGAAAATAATTTTTTGTATATTTTATTTTCATTACCTTTTTCTCCACGCAACTTCCTTCCCCATTTTTTCTTTTCCTCTTTCAAATCTCTTTTCTCTTTTTCCAATATCTCCTTCTCACCAACATATCTTTCTACTCCCCCTCTCAATTCTTCCAATCTATTCAACTTCTTTTCTGCATTCTCATCTCTGCACGATTTAAATATCTTTCTTCCATAATAAACTTTTTTCAAAAAAAATTTTTATTTTTTATTTAGAGCACATGACTTATATCAGTGAAATTAATAAAAAAAGTATTCGCATGATTTACAAAGCGATACGCTTTTTATCAAATAATTGCTTAAAATCCTTCAATTTCCTGTGAATATTTTTTTCACCAGTAAGTTTGTTTAATTTATTTTTTAATTATCAATTACTTGATCGATTTTTTGATTTATAATATAGTGTTGATTTTTGTAAGTTTTATAGTGAGTCAAGGAACCAAGCAAGAATTCAACACTATTGAAAGTAAGCATTTTTTTAAAATGTTATTACACTGTATAAATATTTGATTATTTGATCAATTTTTAAACCAAAATAAAATTATATTTAATAATTATTATTGTTATTTCCTGAAAACTAAGTGAATTGGTGACGTTTTTATAATGTTTCAACATAAGGTGAGATTATTTATCTTGTTTCGATGTCATTGAGAGAAAAACAAAGATTTATAAACAAACATATTCTTTAATGTCAACAATGTTTTTTTTTTTATTTATAAGCAATACAATATGTAATATGATGATCATTAATTACATTTATATAAAGGAGAATTTTCTTTGTAATAATAATCAGTAAAAAAAATAGATCAATATTGTAATGATAAGATTATTTTCCAGTGACTTTTGTTTTTTGTTGGATAATAACACACTCTCATTCTGCTTTCCTTTTTTAATGTTTATTTTTTTTTCTTTCTTCTTGTTAAATTTCATAGATAATCCCTTCTTTTTTAGATAAGTCTCAAGTGTCTGAGTATTATTTATTTTGAAAATGTAAGGAGCAATCTTTTTCCCTTGTTCCTTTTTCAAAATACTTTTAATAGTACTGTAATTTTTGGGTTCAATGGTATCACTATTTTATCTAGAAATAATTCTAAACAAAAGACAAATATTACATTGTAATGCAATTATAATTCCTGAAATTTCTGGTAATACAAAAAATATTCACATTATTGTACATGTTTCATATAATAATTAATATAATATAATAATTAATATACATAATAATTAATAATATAATATAATAATGAGATAAATTTGATTTTATATTTTATAAAATTTTAATTAAAATTATTTTTTCATAATAAATATTGGAATTGGACTTAAGTTCAATAAGTTCAATTGAATAATTGGACAATTGGTACTCCAATTGTTCAATAAGTCCAATTGCCAACACTGATAATCACTAACTATCTACACAGGTCAAATACAAAAGAATCACTGTACCGAATGGTGATTCCTACATTATAGATCAGCTAAAATAAACTGTCCTATTGCATCCTATATTATAAATCAGTTAAAATCAGAATTCCTTTTTGGTACGGCAATTCTTTTGTATTTTACCTGTGCTATAATCATCACTTTATTTGATTCCAAAAATTTTTTCTATATGACATAATTATAAATTAAGCTTATAATCACCATCAAAATTTGGTCTCAAGGTGGTAATTATATACAGGTCTGACTGTATGTATAATATTTATGTGAAATATTTGACACCTATCTTATATATATATAACATATATAACATTAATTTAAACTATTATATTATGATCAGAATTGTTCAGGAATTGTACCAGAATTAGTCAAAGGTGGAATAATTGTCAACTTTAATATTAATTGATCCATCATCTTTAATATTTAATTTCTTACTATAAAGTAATAAATATAAAATTTATTTATCCAATAATTTACTGTCTAATATTTCTTTCCATCCTTGAACTCTAAAAAGTTTATGTTGTTTTCTTTTAGAATCAAAATTGATTTTGTCAATATTTTTTACCAATCCATCAATAATTTCAATTCCAAATTTATTACAATATTTTGTTAGCGTGACATTATTTCCCATAATTATTCCTATATTGGCATATACTTTATTTTGCAAAAGCATAATATAATAAGTATAATAATAAATTATATTAAGTTAAAATAAAGTTATAACTTACACATGCATGGCAAGTCAGTATCAGAGTCACCAATGTATACTGACATAGTTCCTTTTGGAATCATCAATTTATTAAAGATTGCAAGTTTGTCAAGTCCTGTAAGTATCTCTTTCTTTAATATACCAGTCGTACAATCCATTTCATTGAAAATAAGATTATTTGATAGGATTTGTTCTTTCTCAATTTTCACCGAATCCTTTAAACTTCCTAAGAGCATATCTCGTGACCAATTGGTCGAAAGAATGTATAAATTATTATCTTGATTATTACGCTTAGTTGAATATATCTTTAGAACTTCAGTAGCATAATCACGTTTTTCTATCTTTCTCCCCTGTTCAAATAGTTCATTACAGTGTACACCAGATAAACAATTATACTTTTCGACACGTTCCATTGATGTTATTTCAACCTCTCTTAATGAACCCAATAATTTATAATGATCTTCGAGTGAAATTTCTGGGTGGGTTTCACCCCAATGTTTTATATGTTCCTTACGTTCTTTGAAGTATTTTTCAACAAAATAAGACCATGGTGGTGGACAATCAAGAAAACAATTTTCGTCGGAGGGTGGACACTTTCCTTGTTGTGCTCTCTTTTCATATGCGAGCTCTGCTACTTTACACGTAGAGTCACGTTGAGTGATTGTTTCATCAAAGTCACATACTAGGAGGCCAACGGAAGTAACCATTTTTATATTAAAAAAAACCATTTAATTATCGAAAAATATCGAAATTATCGAAAATCAGAAAGGTAGCACAATTCTGAAATTACCTTAAATACAAAAATTATGAAGAGGAATTCGAGAAATTCGGAAAAATGACTTTAAATAACATTGATATCAATGAGATAGTAAAGACAAAATCACCTTCTCGTACAAAATGGTTTGTTCCTGGTTCAATTGTTTCCAAACGAACTGTTAATCCAATTCGTGAAGTGGTTTGTAATATGAAAACTGTTCCAAACCCTGATAAGGAACAAATTTCATTGGCTTTAGGTTAGTTTTTTATATATTTTATTAGGAATTTGTAAAAGTTTTCACAAGTTTTTATGCCACCAAATTTTTATAGGTGATCCCACGGTCTTTGGAAATTTCAAAATTCCCGAAAGTTGTAATGAAGCCGTTATTAAACAATTGAAATCATACAAGGCAAATGGATATATTAATGCAGTAGGTAAATATATATATATTTAATTATTTAAAAATAGATATCAGATATAATAGTTTACTCATTATGAATATTATGGCTTTAGGTTCTGAAGAAGCACGACTTGCTTTGGTGCAAAAATTTTCTACAAAAGAAGCGCCATTAACTCTCGAGGTTTTTTTTTTTTTTTTTTTGAGTTCATTTGTTCATTTAAACTCATGTAAAATTTTTTGAGTAAATTTCTGGAAAAATGGATTAAAAATGATTAAAAATATAGGATGTGTTCTTGGCTAGTGGAGCATCTGATGCTTTAAATATTGCTATTGGTGCTCTTTGCGATGAAGGTCAGAACATTCTTCTTCCTAGACCAGGATTCTCCCTTTATACAACTCTCGCAAAATCGAAGGGAATTGAATGTCGTTATTATGATTTGTTGGCAAGTGATTATTTTTTAACATTTTGATTATTTAATAATAATAATAATAACTTTTATTTTGATCATTTAGCCAAATCGCAATTGGGAAATCGATTTAAAACAATTAATCTCGTTAATTGATGATAAAACAGTATGTATCTTAATAAATAATCCATCTAATCCTTGTGGATCAAATTTTTCTTCTCAACATTTAGAGTCCATTCTTGCTGTTGCTGAAGCCTATAAACTTGTAATTATTACTGACGAGATTTATGAAGATATGGTATTTGGAGACACTAAATTTTATCCTTTAGCCTCATTAACCAAAGTGGTACCAATTTTAAAAATTAGCGGATTAGCTAAACGTTTTTTAGTACCAGGATGGAGGGTTGGATGGATTTTTGTTTATGATCAAAATGAAATTCTATCAGAAATTCGTAAATCATTATTTTCGCTTTCGAATATGATATTAGGAGCAAATTCATTATTACAATATTCGTTACCCGATATTATTTTAAACACTCCCGAAGAATTTTTTCAAGAAACCAATAAAAAGTTAGAGTTTAATGCCAAATTATCAGTAGAAGCATTATCCTCGATTCCGGGATTAAATGTTATTATTCCACAAGGTGCAATGTATATCATGATAGGGATTAATATTGATGAATTGAAAGATGTTAAGAATGATGTGGAATTTTCAGAGAAATTACTTCAGGAAGAATCTGTTATGGTTTTGCCTGGAGAGTGTTTTCATTATCCTAATTATGGTAAATTCATATTTCATCTATTTGTTACCTTTTTCTTTTTTTTTTTTAAAAAAAAAAATAAAAATTAACACATGCCATATATTTTTTCTTCATATAGTGAGAATCGTTTTTACTGCACCTCCGGAAAAATTGCAAGAAGCATATGGTAGAATTAAAGAATTCTTCGTTAGACACCATGTATAAAATTTGTAAAATTACAAGTTATTTATAATTTTGTATATATTTAATAAACGAAGATAAATATAGATTTTGGAAAGTAAATTTTACTCTCATAAATAAATATTAATAATATAAATCTTTCAAGATAAATGAGCAATAATAACTCAAAAAAAATAATAATGAAATCCATTAAATATTATTAATATTGTTAATATTATTGAACACTTTGAAATATTCAAACAAATACTTGTTGAGGAGAAAAACAAAAAGTAACCATATTTTTTTTTTAGTTATGAAGATAAAACAAAATTTGTAATGTATATCAATGTATATCGGAATGTCTACAAAATTCATAAAAATAACAATAAAGTATTTAAAAAAATGGAAACGTACTAGTTATACATATATTATATATAGAATGTACGTTGGAAAATATTAAAAAAAAATGTCTATGCAAAATACAAAATTAAAAAAAAATCGTCGAATAATACTAAACCATCTTTGGGTCACATTCGAATAATAAAATGAATTAAAGCTACGAAATTGTGGGAAAAAAAATTTACAAAGTTCATTCATTGTTGAGTTCTATTATCATTTTTTTGGGGGGGGGGGGGGGGGGGGAGAAAACGTTAATTAATTAACGTTGATTGATTAATCCAAAGGTTCAAAATCAAGATTTCCAACTTGCTGGTTTGATTGATTCTCGGAATATGAACCGGGAATGGAAGTTGTAAATCGGAATCCCGTTGACGTTGAAGCTCCATTATTGTTATTATTATTGTTATTATTATTGTTGTTATTATTATTGTTATTATTATTGTTATTATTATTGTTATTATTATTATTATTACCATCACTATTGTTACCCGATGAACCATTATGATTCTGATTTTGATCGTTTTCTGTAGATACTAATGAATATCGACTAATAAAAAAGGTTCAAAATTTAATTAATAATTAAAAACAAAGAAATAATTATAATAAAAAAAACAAGGAGAGAGAGGATTTTAATTTTACATACCACACGGGACAAGTCCCGTTCACTTTTAACCATGGTTTTATACAATCTCCATGAAAAGTGTGAGTACAAGGTAAATGTATTGCCTCTTCATCTATTTGAAATTCATCTTTACAGACAGGACAACCCAATTGTTCGTCTATTGTGAGATCAAATTTTTATAAGATAAATTTTATATCAAATTTGTCAAATTATATCATCTCTCCTCTAATATATATATATATATATAATACTCTAATATATAATGATCTACTAACCAACTTGCTTTTTAGAGATTTTCAGTTTAGGTAAATTTTCAATAATTTCATCAGAAGCTGGTGGTGGGGCCTGCCTTCTATATTTAACAATTTATGTGAGATTGCCCCAAATTTTATCCAAAGAAATTAATTATATATATATACATAGATATATATATATATTTTGCTCAAATAATTACCCAGCTTGTTGCTCCATCAATTGAGAAATAATATTATCAAATCCTGTTGAACCCCATGCATAATCTCTAGGATCGCCAGTAATATTGAAAAGGTTCAAAATATTTGCATGGTTATTTCCGGCACCTTCTAATGCTCTTTGAATTATTCTATAAATAATGTACAATAAAACATTATCAATAAAAATCACAATCATGTGTATAATCCATCTTACGTGTTACATAATAATAATAATAATAATAATAATAATAATAATTATTGAAATAATTTACAAATTATTTTAGTACGATAATACATAGTGAAAAAAATTAAAAATCTTTAAAAAAAAAAATTTAAAATTAAAATTAAATTAAAAAACGTACTGAGCAAAACCAAGGAAAGGTTGATTATGATTATCAGTTGCTTCTGGACCCATTGCAAAAATAAAATTTCTTTGCCCTTGTTGACCTGTTGGTGGTGGTGGTGGTGGTTGTTGACCTGTTGTTGTTGGTGGTGGTGGTTGTCGTTGTTGTTGACCCGATGGTTGACCTGGTTCACCTTCTCTTGTCGTTGTTGTCGTTTCTGATGTTGTTATAGTAGTTGTAGTATTACCATCACGAGTTTCGGTTTGTACACGAAATGGACCATTGGGTCCAGATTGAAGCAACGCTGTGATCATATTTTGGAATATTTGCATGACTTCATTGTTTCTATTTCCCATATTGAAAGGAGCATTCATATCGTCATATTCCTCGTCTGATTCATGACCTCCACTCTGTGTAAAATTTCTGGGATCGTTTTCTTCGTCAATCTAATTCCGGCAATACAGTGGAAAGAATAAAAGGTTACCAAAGACAAAAGACGTAGAATCTGTTCGAAATTTTCGAATTGAGATTCGTTTGAAAGAGATTTGACGGACTTTTGCAAAGAACGCGAAACTACAAGAAAATCAATCCACCTCTTCCACGAAATCACCATTACAACGAGGACAAGTTGGGTGAGGAGCCATCAAAGGCTCTATATTCTCTTCACATTGGTGACACCAATATTGCCTTCGGCTATTTCCAGGACTGCTACCACCAACGGTGTTAGCTTGATCAGACATTACGTAAAAAAACGGAAAAATAAAGGTCAAAGTTATCGGCTACAGTATTTGTTTCTGTATATAGGAAGAAAAAAGAAAGAAAAGAGAAAGAAAAAAAAAAGGTTCGGCGTTTGCTATAACGGGTTTTTTGCGATCAGTTAGTTCGCTAACATGCAAGTTCGAGAACAATCTCAAAGTGATCAGGAGGTTTTTATACTTTTTGTACCAACCTAGCAATTGTGAAATTAATGAAATTAATATCAAATATAAATACTAAATAATACTGTGACAAATTGGAATAATATTAAGAATAATTATAGATTTTTATTGGATCTTGTAATATTTGTAATTATTTGTAATTCTTGTAATATCTTGTGTGATAACTTGTTTGTGATATAATTGTTATCTTTGTGATATTTTGGAAGTTTATTTTTATAGTAATTCGTATTATTAATATTACTATATGTTAATGTGTCTGTCGATCGCACGTGAAGATTGTACTCTCTTTATTTATTATGGTTGATCTTTAATTATTATGATTCTATTCTATATAATAAAAAAATAATATATTTACAGTGTAATAATAGTTTAAAAATATTTACAAATATAAAGAAGTTGAAATTTCGATTAATTAAATCAGATAAATACCGATCTTCAAGTTCCATTTGTTCATGTGAAATTTCAATTTCTTGGTCTTCCATTACTTCAATGTTGTCATCTACTTCATTTGTCATTTTATCCATTTTATCAATAATCATACCTGATTTTTTTTTTCTCTTATAATTTTCCTTTGATTTTTTATTTTGATTATTTTTATTTACTTGACGTGCTCCTCCTAAACTATTATGACTAACACCAAACCATCCATTAGCCCTGTGTCCACGTCCAAAGCTTATGGCTTTAGGCATATTTGGCATTTTAAGTTTTTTCATTGATTCTGTAATATCACTTATTTCTATATCTTCTTTAGAATTTTCATTATTGAAAGAATTCGGTGAAGGTGATGATGGTGATATATTTGTTACATTTTTGGATGATATTGGTGAATCTTTATGAAGTTCAGTTTGAATCAATTCAGATGATCGATTTTTCTTATGACTTTAATTAATTATCGTAATTACCGTGAAAATAAATTCAAAAAAAATAAATAAATTGACAATATGAAAATAATGCAATCAAAAAATAAATAAATAAATAAATAAATAAATAAATAAATAATGAAACCTAAATTTATTCTTTTTTTTCTTATAATGTTGATTCTTTCGAATACTGAATGGCACAATTCCTGTCAATGTGATGGAAAAATTAAAAGTCTTCGGGAAATTGTGTTTATAAATCAGATGAAGTCTTCGAGTTTTTGGTACATAAAATAATTTTTGACATCCTTCAACGTAACACTCATACTACAAAAAAAAAAAAGAAAGAAAGAAAATTCGACATGAATAAATGAAAGACAGATGTAGAATAGATAAAAAAATAAAAAAAACACACACACATATATATATGTATAATTTTTTATTACCGTCCTTACACCTTTTTCCTTCTTTATCTGAAAGAATACATCATGGAATTCCATCAAATGAAGTTTTAACCAACGCTCAGTAGGAAACACTTTATTGCATTGCATACAAACGTGCTTATGAGAATTATTGTAATGAGCCTCATAGGAAACAGTCGAAGGAAATTCGATAGGATTCCTCCTACACCATGGTTGTAAGCGACAAATTATTGATTTTCGACTTAACGAATTAAATTAATAAAATAAATTATTTATTAAATTTTGAATGAATAAATTAATAAATAAATAATGTAAATAATATATAAAATTATTTTTACTTGACTAATCGCCCAAGTTCTTCCTCAGCGATCTGAGAAGGTATAAACGTGTTCTTGGCCAACCATTGAGCACGAGACTCTAGGTTTCCAAGTTCAAAGAAAGGATCATCCGGTAAAAATTTTCGTTTAGTTGGATAATAGATTGGAGTGGTTGTAAGGATTATATCTTCCATTATAGCAAGTCATAACTTTTGAATTTTATGAAGATCTTCAAAAATTACGGAAATCACAAATTTGTCTCACTTAACTTGCATTATAAATATTACGTAAGAATCAAGACTCCCGGGATTTTAACCTATTTTAACCCTCATGAGTATAACAAATCCACTTCCGAACCCACCACCTGACCAATACCAGTTAAATATAATGTAATATGACAAAAAGGCTTCTTTGTTATATTTTTTAATTATTATAGGGACAAACTATTTGAATATCCAAAATTAATAATGCCTCCAAACTTGGGGGGGGGGGGTGGAATTAAATCTAATAAATCTAATCTAATCACAATTACAGTTATTTGTAATACAATAAATTATAATTCTAGATGGCACATGATCAACTATAAAAACATCTAAACTGATTTTTTAAAAATGATCTCACAGTAAGATAATAACGAAAAGGAAATGTTTGTTGCTGATTGGATATGGTTAAATTATTTCAACATACTTTTAAATACGAGTAAGTATATATATTATTATAAAAACCTTGATCTCTTACACTTTTTACAATCAATTTATTCAATTTAAAATTATATATCTTTCGTCATTATCTTGACTTTTTTTTTTAAGGTATAACTGGGACAGTGTAACTTTGGCCTTCTGGTTACGTTATCCCAATCCTTTCGCATCGCACGTTGAAAGTGTTGACGTAATTGATAGATATGTTGATCCCAAAACTGGTTCGTTAAGGACTACAAGGTTAATCATGAAGCGAGGGGTTTTGCCTAAATGGGGTCAGGGGGTGAGTTTCGAGAAAATTTTACGACAATTTTATGAATTCTGATTAAAAAAAAGAAAAAAAAATTCTAATAACTCGAGAATTCTTTTAAAATAAAATTTTATAACGTTGACGATTTTGATAAGTTTGATAATTTTTGAATTCAAAAGTTTATAAAAAATCCAGAAGCCTATATTATTGAAGAGTCCATAATTAATCCCATAACTCAAACAATGATTACACGCACAAAGAATATAACACACGCTCGAGTTATGCAAGTTGAAGAATGGCAAACTTTTCGAGTGGATCCTAATAATCGAGAATTTACTCAAGTGAAAACCGAAGCTAAATTCGTTAGTAAATTTGGATGGGGATTAACTGAAAAACTTGAAGGTTTTGGATTGAAAAGATTTGCAGATAGTTCTTTAAAGGTGAACATTTGTTTGTTTTTTTTTCTTCTCTTGGATGGATACATTCTAATGAATAAATGTTAATAATAATAATAATAATAATAATAATACTGATAAAAATATAATAATAATGTTTTAGAGTCGAAAAGGAATGTCCTATATTTTGGAAAGGATTCGTGAAAAGCAATTATTACGTGGAAGAAAATTAATGAACGCGTATTCAATTTAATATTATAAATTTGTAGATATTTAAAAAAGTTCCCACTCATTTATTCAACATATTCAATATATTCTTTATAAATTTAATATATATTCAATATATTCTTTATAAATTCAATATATATTCAAAATGTTCAATCCAAAATTTCAGTATTAATATGATTATATTATTTGAACTCAAAACCAATAAAAAAATTCCATGATTATGTATTTGAATCCTCAATGAATTTTATACAACTCGGGTATTGGCATATGATGCATACAAGAATATGTTCACATGATACCGTTCAAGTAACCTGCATATATATATAAAATTATTCTTCTTAAAAAAAAAAAAAATCGATATACAGTAGTAAAAAAAAAAAACGAAATTCTTATTCATATACAGTAGTAAAAAAAACGAATACGGCAACAGCAACTACGCTAATTACGAAAATATCAACTTAACATGTCTCAGCCAGATCGTAAAGGAAAGAAGACCTTAAGGGTTGAACAAGCCCTGAAAGAGAAAGAGATGGTTGGGGGCACCACCTTATCACTTTTAAAGTGTTTTGTTTCATTTAGAAAGCACTTTGTCTTGGAGTTTTGATTGGCAAATAAGAAAGACGAAAATTTTTGAACTCGTGGAATTCATATTGATATAGGGGAATACGTATTTCAAAAATGGAAACTACTCAAAAGCAATCGAACATTATGGGAAGGCCGTTGAACTAGATCCTAAAGAAGCAGTCTTTGTCATTAATCGGGCGATGGCTCATTTGAAGTTGAAAAAGTTAGTATTATATTATTATTTAATATTGTAAATCTCGTAACAAAAAATAAAAAATATAGATATATGAAATTTCTGCACATATTTTTCCCTCCTCATATATTATTTTAATCATATTTCTCTCTTATCTATATTTTAATAATAGTTGGGTAGAGGCAGAAATTGATTGCACTCAAGGATTAATATTACATCCCAATAATCCTAAAGCGTTATGGAGAAGGGGTATCGCAAGACGGGAAACTGGAAAATTGGAAGAATCTAAAAAAGGTTCTGGTTATGATGTTGATTCACTTTAATTCTCTAAAAAGATTCCTCATTAAAATAATTAAAATATACGAAAAAAATCGATATATTTGTATATTATCGATGTATATATATTATTTAGATCTTGAAGATGTATTAAAATTGGAACCAAATAACAAAGAAATCCAGGATGAATATTCTAAAGTTTTAGATATTATCAAATCGGTCAGTCATAATGATTCTTTCAATTAAATATTTAAATATTGTTTATTATGAACTTTACATAATTTATGAACGGATTTCTTCCACTGACACCTTCACAGAATGAATTATCTTCTGATTCAATTGAAATTACTGGTGAAAGAAGAAGGTTAACTATTGAAGAAACTGATTTTGATGAAAACGAACATATTATTGAATCTGCAAGGAAAGATTTGAAGTCCAAGTTAGCGGTACGCATGTATATATTATTTTTGAGTTTTTCATTATTAATTTTATTAATTATTATTATTATTATTTTTTTGAGAAAGCAATAAATCAATAATAATAAAATTTCATATATATATATAAAGGTGAATGAATTAGATAATAAAGAATTACCTATCAAATCGACCACATATACTCGTCCAAACATGAAGGTACCTCGTGCTATGTTTGAATTTGAGCGTGATTGGGCCAGGTATCAAGGAAATAACGAAGATTTGTATCATTATATTAAAGTAATTAGGAATTTTTATTATTGAATTTATTATTGAATTTATCATTGAATTTTTATTATTGAATTTTTATTATTGAAATTTATTTTATTATTGATTTAATATTTTCTTTATGAAAGATTATTCCGCCTGCTAGTTATCCAACCCTTTTATCCGATTTTCTCGAAGTGGATTATCTCTCCCAATTCATATTTATTTTGAGAGATTTCTTTTTGGTGTATGTTGTATTATCACAAAAAGACAATATTTATAAATCTTTAATTGAAGATATTAATTTTATTTTTCGTTCTACTTTAGACGCGATTCTGCAGATGACGTATTTGAAATTTTGTATAACTTGAATCGTACCGAAAGATTTAAAATGGTTTTAATGTTCTTGGGAGAAGAAGATAAGAAAGGTAAACATGAAAATTCATTTTTATTTATTTATTTATTTATTATTAATAATAATAATAATAATATTATTATTATTATTTAATTTATTAAATTAATTAAAATACTTTTAAAAAGGATTGAAAACATTATTCGATGCATTAATCTTAGCCAATCATAATCAGAAATTAACAAAGGCTACTCTTCAAGAAGTATTGGATTTGGCTAAAGTTTATAAAATTCAGTTGTGAATATTATTAATATCACATTAATGATAAATTAATAAAATATTAATGATATATTAATGATATATTAATAAATACATTAAGTTAATTAAGAAGAAATTAGAATAGGAATTAAATTTCAGATTTATTTTTTTTTTCATTTTATTTATTTTTATCATTTTTCGCAAAAAAGAAATTTTTTGATCAATTGAAAATTTTTACTGAAAAGGATGCCTGTTTCACCAATAAAGATTTTAAAGATATAAGAAACTTTTTCTTATTACACATTAAACAAAGAATTAAGAATCAATTTTACTTTCGAAGATACATAATTAATTATTAATTTAGAACTCTGCATTTTTAGTAGAAGTTTCATCCCGAGGCAAATTTTTCAACTTTTCCATCTTTTCCTGTTCTTCTTTCAATGCTTTAGAGAAAATGTTGCTAAGAAACAAAGGTTTTCCACTAAATATATATAAATATATGTATATTATAATAATAATAATAATAATAATAAATAACAGAGAATTATAATTTGAGAAAAAGTTCATAAATAAAATAAAATTAAGAATAATTTTATCAATAATTTTTGGTTTTGAGGAAAAGGTCTGACCTTTTAAAGTTTTTAGCTTTTTTCTCTTGTAACTTTTTAGAGCATGGAGATAATAAGCTATCAGTAGGGGATTTAATACTGATTTATATAAAAAGAGGAAATTAGATAATATTAAGATATAGAGATATATTTTATATCTATAATATTTTAAAAACAGAAATTACATTTCTGTCAATCTCAAGATATCTTTGAAAAGTTTTTGGTTTTTTATTTATTTATTTATTATCTGATAAAAAAAAAAAAAAAAGATAAAAATTATAAAAGTTATTCGACAACTTACTTAAAAGACTTTTTATTATTATGAATTAAATTCGAATGGTGAACATTATTTATATTATTTGTAAATGGTTTTTGCTTATGAGTAGTAAAAGGAGTATTATAAGGAATAGTGTGAGTATTATGAGGAATAATGGTAGTGATAATACCATTTTTTTCATTAGACTTTACTACTTGTTGTGAATCAACATTTTTAGCTTGTTGATACTCCATTATTTGAGTTATTTGAATTAAACTTTGTTGAAATAGTAGTTTAGTTAGTTAATGTGAATGTAATAATTATTATTTTAATGTAATAATTATTATTTTAATTTAATAATTATTATTTTAATTTAATAATTATTAAATGATGAATTAAAAGAATTAAAGGAAAGAAAAGAAAGAACTTAAATCTTTGTTTAATCGAATAAAAACGCGTTCTATGTTCACGATACGTCATATTTTTTGGTTATTTATCGGAACACATGATTGAGTTATCAAGTTGCACGCATTTAGTACGCAATCTTATTGGTTGTTACATATTTCCGAATTCTTTAAATAATAATAGTAATAATAATGGAATTAGGAATAGGAATGAACGAGAAGGAAATTCTTGAAGAAAATTTTTATTAAATCTTATTATAACGATAATTTTATACAATATGCAAATTAAAGAAAGTCTATAATATTAAGTACATCAATCAATCAATCCTATCAATCAATAATATTAAAAAGATTAAAAAGGGAATTTTATATACAAATATATTTAATTTACAGTAAACTAAATTTGTCACCAGAAATTTCGATTTAAAAAGTTCCAGGGAATGTTGAAATATTTTACTATTGGAACGTGTAATTAATTACCAATTATAAGGTTGTGATCCCTTTCAAATATTTAGAACATATTTAGGAACATAAATCATATCTGATCACTTATACTTCGATACGAATGATACAAATACAAATACCGTATAGTTTATTATTTATGTATATATTCCACATGAAATGTAAAAATTCCCAAATAAATAAATTTTTTGAAATAATAAATATTGTTAATATTACTCAATATTTATGGTTGTGTCATTGTTTTCCAATAACATAATCTACACTTGAATTTCTAATATCAGCGAAGGGGGCGGAGTCAAACGTATTTTTTTTTTTTCTTGGGTGGGACAAAAGTTCATGGGATGGTTGATTAATGTATTACACAATTTTGTTATATAAAATTTTTTTTTTTTATATTTTTAACTCTTTTTCATTGACAGTTTATTATTATTATTATATTTATATATATATATATATTTATATATTTATATTTATTATTATTATTATACTTACAAAAGCTATATTGATATTATAGTTAAGTCTTTGACAACGAGCGTTATATTATCCTTATTATTATTATTATTATTGGTTTTTTTTTACTTTAGCGATGGCAGAACTACAAAAGCAAACAGTAGCTACAACAACGACAACATTGGAAAAACCTGTTGTTACTTCAAAATCTGAGCAACCAATGATAGTGAGCCAACATTCTTTATTACAAGCTGTGAATTATCTTCGTTCTGAACTTGAAAAAGTACAAAGCGAAAATAACAACTTGACTAAAGAGCGTATTTCTTTAATAGAACAACTCGAACTAGAAAAAAATAAGTACAGCAATAGTTCTAGAAATAGTATAGAAACAACGGAAACTGCGGTAGATATTGTTCAAGAGGAAGGTGAAGGAGAAGGTGGGGAAGGAGAAGGTGAAGAAGTAGAAGAAGTAGAAGAAGTAGAAGAAGTAGAGGGGAATTCTGATACTTCAAATAATAAAAATGAACAAGAAATAATTATTTCAGAGTTACAATTGAAAATAGAGAAAATAGAAAAGGACAAAGAAGAATTTATCGCATGTATAGAACAAGAGAAACAAGTTTTAAAAGCACAACTTGATTTAACTCAAGAAGAGAAACAACAATTAGAAATACAGCATCAAAGTTTAATTGCAAAATTGGCAAATTTTAAAACATCAATAGCCGATAAATTGAAAACAGATTTGGTAATTTATTTGTATTTTTAAAAATATTGAAAAATCTTAATTCTTTTTTTTTTATATATATCAATAATTCAATTTTCAAATAATTCATTTTCAATAATTCATTTTCAAATAATTCATTTTCAATAATTCATTTTCAATAATTTATTTTCAATAATTAATAATTAATAATAATCAATAATTAATATATATAATTATTAAAAATAATGCAGGAAGATTTAAATCAAAAAAAACAGCAAATAGAATCATTAAATTTGCAAAATCAAGAACTTGTTACTCGAGTTTCAGAATTACAATCGGATCTTTCAATATCTCGTACCGAACATTATAACACAACTCAACAATTACATACCATAGAAGCACAATTATATGAGATACAACGTCAAACGTCACAAGAAATTTCTGAAAAAGATAAAACGATTCGAGAATTACAAATTAATTTAGATCGTTCAGAAAGGGAAAGGGTAGATGGGGAAGTAACAATGATGGAATTAAAAAGTGCCAAAGATGAATTCCTTTCTCGTATAAAACATTTGGAAAGAGAAATGGAAGTTTCGAAACAAGAGAAAGAAACTTTAAAAGCGGAAAAAGATAATGAATCGGAAAGTTTGAATAATTTACAAAATGTTTTGGAAGAATTTGAAGCAGGTAAAAATATATTTATTTGTGTATTCTTAATTATTATCTATTATCTATTATCAATTCTTAATTATTTATCTATTATATAACTCTTAACTATCAATTATTTATTAGCCAAACAATCTGAAATTCGAGAAGCTGTTGAGGGAATACAACGTCGTCTTTCAACAACTTCTAAAGAATTATCAGAATTTAAAGAGCGTGCATTGTTAGCAGAGGTTCGATAATTTGTAATAAATGTTTAATAAAATGTTTAAGAAAAGAAAATAATAATAATATAATAACAATATAATAATAATATAATAGTTATAATATAATAATAATATAATAATTATAATATAATAATAATATATTATCATTATTAATAGGAACAATTAACACAAACAAAGGAAGAGGCTAGTCGGACATCATTATATGAAAAAGAAATCAAAGAAAAGAATTTATTAATTGGAAAACTGCGACATGAAGGTGAATATATTTAATTTTATTTTTTTTAATATTTAGGTTTCTATTTCATATGTTTTATGTATGTTATGTATTAAAAATATAAAATTGATAAAAATGGTAAATGGTGAAATTTTAAATATTTTTTATTTTTATTTTCTTTAGCTGTAATATTGAACGAACATCTCACCGAAGCTCTTCGTCGTATGAGAGAAGAAAGTAGCGAAAATAATGTTGACAAGTTAGTTCTACATTTTTTATAATACGAAACATATTATTTACGCGTTTACTTATTATTATTATTCTTATTATTATCTTATTATCCAATTTACTTTTACACTCTTTTACTAGACGTCTCATAACCAATTTATTGATAGCATTTTTCAATACACCGCGAGGAGATAGTAAACGATATGAAATATTACAATTAATGGCTAACATGTTACAATGGACAGATGAACAAAAAGAATTAGTAGGATTAATAAGGAAGGCATTTAGACCTATAGATAATAATAACAATAGTAATGTCAATGCGAGATGGGCTTCAGGATTATGGACACCGACTATAGAAAGACCAAGAAGTAGATTATCTGAAGATGCACCTCGATCAACTATTAGATTATCTGAAGATGATGAACCAAACGAGGTTAGTTTTGCAGAAATTTATTATTATTCTTCATTTTTTTTTATTTATTTTATTTTTATTATTACAACGAATTTATTAAATAATAATTTCCTTATATTCTAAATTTTTTATAATAGTCATTTTCGGATATGTGGATATCATTTTTACTTAAAGAAGCAAGTAAAGAAAATCTTATTGAACAAAAAATTGACACTAATACAATTTCAACCCAAAGTGGTGAATAATAATAATAATAATAATAAATAATAATAATAATAATAATAATAATAATAACAAAATAATAATAGTAATAATAATAATACATATTTATTATATTTTCATTAATGTATTATATTTGTGCAATTCTTTTTTTTTATATTTTCAACATTTTTATTTTGCCTGTCTTTTCTCAAATTATATAAATTATACATAATTTATATAATTATTGTTTCTAAAGTTGGTATATATATATTAAATGTGATGATACAGTAAAAATAATGAATTTTTTGTATCATAAATGAAAATGATTTCTTCTTGTTAAAAAAATTAAATATGTAATAACTTATAATTAATATACTTAAATATAAATTATTATTTTTTATAGAAATAGAAATAATATAGAATATATTTTATTGGTGGATAAAAATGGTCAAATTTATTCGTTATCATTATTTTTACTCTTCTTACTTTTTTTTTTTTTTTACCTAATTTTATTATACATGTACCATTGAACATTTTACATATTCTGTTACACAACAAAAATGCGTAAAAGAAATAGAGAAATACTTAATCAAGAATTGCTAACTTCTTTCCTTTGTTTTAAAATTAAATAGTTAACCTCTTTTTTTTTTTAAGAAAAAAAAAAAAAATAGAATATAAATATTTTGAATTATTTGTTTGATCGAATAAAAAATCAGGATTTATATATTAATGTAATATATTTCATGTTACATTGATTGATATATTAATCTATCAAATCCATAAAAGGTTTTGTTTGTCCCTTAAGAAAATGCAATAATTTAAATTCTTACACAAATTGCATTATTTGCCTATGTATATATTTGGTAAGTTATACCTATAATTAATAACTATTAATACCATTAAAATTGATTAGAATTTATATAATTCTATAATTTACATAATAAAATGTATTTAAGGAGTGACGTCGCCTTGCATTGTGTCATATTTTTGAGAGTTTTCTCTTGTTCCGAGAGTTTTATTTATTTTTAGTAAGTTCAATTTTTCTTAAAGCATAAAACTACTTATAATTTGTTGTTATTATTAGTCTCTCCTCTGATTATGCACCGTTAAATCTGGTAAAGTTCTTTCTTTATTTCTCTCTCTCCCCCCATTAAATGGACAACACAGTTGACCAACAAGATTCTGAAATTAATGTGACAGAAGAAGAGGAAGCTAAAAAAAAAGATAATATAGAGAATGTGGAAGAAAAAAAAGAAGTAGTAATAATTAAAAAGGGAAAAGAGGATAACCTGATAGTTGATTCTACAGATATATCGATAACTGAAACTGTTTTAGTGCAGAAAGATGTTGTTGAAGGTAACACCAACCAGTCAAGTACGGCAGAAGAAAAACCAACAAGTAACTTATTTGGTCCACTTAAATCAGAACAACAATTAATAGAATTACAACAATTTACAGGAAAAGAACAAAGACAACAAATGCGACAAGAACAGTTAACGGAACAAGAACAACGACAGTTAACAGAACAACAAAAACAGCAACAGTTAACGGATAACGTATTATTTACCACTTCACCTAATTCTGGAGGAGATATTTTCACTTCAAATAATTCAAAAAATAATTCTTATTATAATAATAAACCTACAATGTTTTCTAAACCTGAAAATCAAATAGCTTCAGATTCTCAATCTCAAGCTTTTTATTCAGAAACAACAACAGATATTGACCCCAAACATTTAGTAGAAATTTCTGAAGACGGGATGTTATCTTTAAGACATGTTGAATTAGAAAATTCGAATTCAAATTCAAATAATTCAAATTCAAATTATTCATCATTAATAAGTCCAGGTTTACCCGTTGAACCTTTATCATCAAATACTAGTAATTCAAATATTATATTATTACCTAAACAAATTATTCGAATAGAAAGAGATTATTGTAAAGGAGAATTATGTCAATTTCAAGATTCTTTCCCTGTGGAGATTGATGGACGGGTATGAAAAAAAAAAAAAAAAGAGAGAATATATATATTTATTTTTTTATTATAATTGAAATCAAGATATTTATATAGAATTATTTTCTTATTTTCTTTATTTCTTTCCTTATTATCTTCATTATTTTTGTTGCTGTTATTTATTATTTTTTAATATTTCTTATAGGTAAATCCAAGACGATTTCAACGAACAATAAATACATTAAATCAAAAATTGGAAAAGGCATTTGACCCAAAATATAATTGCCTAGATAATTTTCTCGCTTGTGTAACAATATATACATCAACGTTATGCATTCGGCCACACTTTGAGAAGGTAAATTGATATTAAGACCGTGTTTAATTCATTTTTTATAATCAATTTTTTTTTTTCAAATTCATTTTTAGTTCAATCTTTAAAAATTCATTTTTCATTAATTCTTTTAGATGATTGAAGACATATGTATATTTTTAGATAATGAGAATCAGACCATATATAATCCGAATGGACTTAATTTTCGAAATCCACAAAGAACTTCGTTTTTATTTGTATCCTTTATATATATACGTGTGTGCGTGTGTTTGTTCGTGCGTGTGAAATTCATTAGTTCTTTTTTTTTTGTTTATATTCATTTTCATTTTAAATCCTTAACTTCAAATTATTAATCTTAAATTATGATAATTTCAGCTCGAACTTGAATTTTATTAGATATCACATTCTCGCTGTACTTATTTATTTATTTTATTATTTTCTTTATTTTTTTGTATATCAATAATGTAAATTCATTTTCATAGATCTTATATATACATTGGGGTTTTCTTCTCTTCCTACCACCACTACTACTTTTATTACTACTTCTATTACTACTTTTTATTATTACTTTTCTATTTCTACTTTTTATTACTACTACATCAATCAATCAATCAACAACCACCCCTTGATTTTAAAAAAAAAATAATATTAAATATTAAATGTTAATAATAATAATAATAATTTTGTGAACTATATATAAAATATGTATACAAAAGAAAAAAATAAGTGAGATGGAGATTAAATACATTATTTATTTATTTTTTTAATGAATTTTTTTTTATTTTTGAAATATTTGAAGATTATTAAATATAATCTGGAGTTTTTGGTTTGTTTGTTTTTAAATAGATTTTATTTTTTGTATTTTTAACATTCATTTTTTTTTATCTAAATTCAAATTTCAATCAATTTTGTCAATTTTATAAGTTTTATCAATTTCATCATCTTTTAACAAAGAAAGTAATCCCAAATCTGTTTCCTCATCAATTTTCTCTATTTCTTCAACTTTTACCTTATTTTCATACTCTTTATCTTTAGAATTAGAACCAAGAGAATCAGGAGGAGGGTTGGGTTTTATGATTTGATCTGATCCAGGATATTTTTTTCCATGTGAAGTTCCTTCTAATATATCATAAATTTGATTTAATCTTTTTAATACTTCTTCATCACTAACTCCACCTCCCATTTCATTATAATCCATTTGCATATCATCTAATGTATTCGTGTAAACTCGTTGTGTTTTATTAAAAGCTTCATCAATTTTAGAATCTAAATTATTTAATGTTACAAAACTTGATGTACGATGATATAAATCAATTAAATGATTTAATCTTTCTTGTCGTTTTCGTTTTTGTAATAAATTAAATTTCTCAATTCCTCTTTCTCGTTTTAATCCTCTATAATCAGGTGGTATCATACATTTTGTAGATGATAATGATAAAATTCCCGAAGTTTCTTGTAATTTTTTTAAATCGGCTTCCCGTTCTGCTCTTATTTTTTGACGCCAAACATTTTGATTTTTTAAAAGATCTTTAGGTGTGGTATAAATTGTTGTTGATGTTTCATCTTTAATATCATTGGATACATTGGTTATTTCTAATTTTTTATTATTAATTTCATCATTTTTTTGTAAATTATTATTATTTAAATTATTATTTTTTATTTTATTTTTATTATTATTATTATTATTATTCTTATTCTTATTATCACCTAGAGAAAATTTACTATTATCAATAATTCGAGAAATATTTTTATTATCTTGAGAATCAATTGATGATACTGCTAATCCTAATTCCAATTTATATTTAAATCTTAATAATTTTAATTCATCTTTATATCTTTTCGCATCATTATTATATTTATTTTCTGAAATTTTTGGTGGATCTATAATTGGTACAGTTCTTTTTTTACCATCAACATATATAACCGTTTCTTTTGGTATATTATTATTTTTATTATTATCTTGGAATTTTTCTTCAAAATTATTTATAACTTTGTTTGAACTATTATTGGAATTATTGGGAATATTGGTAACATTAGTAACAGTGACTTTTTTATTTCTCCTTTCCTTGGCTTCTTGTTTGTATTCCTTTTTTCTCTTGTTTTTTACTGGTGGTGGTGGTGGTGAAAAACCTGGCGCATATCCATACTTACCTTTTTTATACTTATCAGAATTATTTGAATTATTATTATTTTCTGTTATTGTACTAATATTATTCGAACACAAAAGTAATTTTGAAATCTTTCTATTTAATAATATTGTAGATTTAAAATGTTGTCTTTTTACAAGTTGAAAACTCATCATTTTTTTAAAAAAAAAAAAAATCGATAAAAAATATTTATCTAAATATTTAAAATAATTGTAATCTAAAAATTTATTGATCGAGTAACCAATAAGAAAATGGCCAAATTTTTTGTGAAATAAATTACTGCGCCTTTTTTATATATATTTATTATTATTATTATTATTTGATTCAATTTAATAAATCAGTGAGTGACATTCGAGCTCCACGTTGTTGTTGTTGTTGCTGTTGTTGTTCTTCTTGTTGTTCTTGTTGTTCTTCCTCAGGATGATTTATAGGACTCTCTTGATCTTCATCGTAATCCATTTCTTCAACTTCTGATTCTTCTTCCATTTCGGTGTCACCTAAAATTTGTAAACACTGAGAAAGGATTTCTCGGTTCTCGGCTTCTGGTGATTGGATTCTTCAAAAAAGAAAGAAAAAAAAAATCATATGTAAAATATTAAAAATGAGATATTATACGTATGAATAAAATAAATTACCGAAAATCTTGTAGTGTTTCAATAACTTTTTCTCGAAGAGATGTATAGTAAAAGATATCCGTTATTTTTGATATCTGTTGGACACTAAAAAATTATTTATTATTATTATTATTAAAGTTTTTTTTCTTTTTTATCTATCACTAAAAATAAGTACAAAATTTAGAAAATTTTAAAAATCTTACGTTGTTGTTAACTTGTTTGCATCCTTTGGTAAATTACCGACGTATCGCGTAATTTTTTTAACTAAAGCCTTTTTTTGTAATGAAAACAAATAAAGAAAAGAAAGAAAAGATTGATAAAATATTGATAAAATATTGATAAAATTTTGTCATTCACATTCATTACACCGAGCGAGCCAAAAAATTATTTACCTCAATATTTTCGGGTTTAGGTAATTCAATGTTATCAGATAAATAACTCTTGTTAGATAGATTTCCAGGTATTGAAGATTGTTTTAACAAATCTCTTGCATTATTATCCTTTGAAAACAAGGTAAAATAAAAATCTAATAAATCATGAGTTAAAAAAATCAGATTCTTATTCGAATTTAATAATGATGAAAATAAAAATAAACATAAATAATTAATGTACAAACATGAACCAGAAGAAGTCGTTATTGTATCGATTTGATTAATTTGATTCTCTGGTATCGATGGTGTTGCTGCTTCTATTGCCGCATAAGTATCATTCGGTAACCAAATGAATGCTACTCGATTTTCATTTTTTAGAGATAACCATAATGCATGAAAATATTCGTTCAAATTATTATTATTATTATTATCATTTTGTGAATCATTCTTATATTTTTCATTATTATCCAAAAACATCCACAAACGAAATCTCGTGGCTATCCCATGCAATGATGATTTTGATGTAAATCCTATGATAGACATAATTTTAACTAATTCCTGAACTATAGAAAATAAGAAAATATTCAGTAAAAAGAATTTAATAATAAAAAAGATTTAAATACTCTACAAATACCATTTTCTCCATCATCAATAGTATAAATACTTGGATATATTATAATGGGAAAAGACATACGTCCACACAATAGCGTACCCTTATATGGATAAACTTCAAATTAAAATAATTAAAATCTTGAAAGTCATGGAATTAATAATAATAATAATAATAATAATAATAAAAGAACATTTAAAAAGGTAATATAATAAAGGATACAATATTTTTCACTAATTGAATCCATAGCATTAAATATTTTATCTTTAGTCTGTGGATATGCTATAAAATAAAATACTCCTTCATTTTCATACAACACATCACCATTAGGGTGATTTTTAGTTATTTTATATGGTAAACGTCGATTAAGTAATTTTTTATATTGTTGTAACATTTGATTGGTTTTTAATGAATCTCTATCTCTTTTAATTTCATCCCCAAAACAAACAATATGTAATCTCCAATTTGGATTCCGAAATTTAAATCCATTTTTCTCTAAATGCGATCAAAATGTAAATAATTAAATCATTAAAAAAAAAAATAATAATAATAATGAAAATTCTTTAAAATATGATATACCTTGAGGTGATCTCCCATCAGTTATTACAATGATCTGACAAACTTGATGTATACCGAAATTTTCAGTTACATATTCTTCAACAAAATTGAAAGCATTTTTCAAATTTCTATTAGAACTTTCGGATTTAACCTCCCACCTAAATTATTATTTCAAGGATAATTTTTTGTATTGCATCAGAACCAAAAGAGTATAATAATAATAAAAAAAGATTAACATAAATTATTCCCTTTTTTTTTTTATTAACTTTAATAATACTAAAAATAATACAACTTGAAGAGATCATTATTATTTAACAAATCCTGATATCTTACGAAATCCAGTAAAATATTACATTTCGAGGAAAATGAAACACATGAAATTTTTAACCACGGACAACGTTGGAAAAAATTTATTATTCCTAAAGAAGGAATACTTTTTAAGGATTATTAAAATTTTTCATGATTTAATTCACGGTTTTCAAATTTCGGAAAATACCTGCTTTCGCACAGTCAAATTTTTTTTCAAGCGTGTTTGCTGGAACAAACATTGCTTTAGATACGTCTAACAGGAAAACTACAACTTCAGGACAAGTCATTTTTTTTTCTTTTTTTCATTCAATTAATTAACTCAATGAATTCAATTTTTATTAAATTTAAATTTAAATTTATTGTAATATCACGTGTAAATAATGAATCAGGTTTCAGTTTGACATTTTTATTCATATAAAATACATTATAAAGAAATGAAATGGAAATAATGAAATTTTTAAAAGTTTAATATTAATTTACAGTTCATCACGTGGTACAAAGTCTTTATGGAAACTCGAAAGAATGTTTCTACGAATTGTGAAATCGTCAATTTTGGCTTCGGATATAGTGCCGGATTCAATTATCTTTTCTAATCGAGTAATTTCGTTATCCGCATAATCTTCCTTTCCTTTGATTTTATTCATAACCTTTACATAATACTGGGAAAATCTATAAAGAATTATAATAATTATAATAATTATAATGTAAATTATATTTGCGATAATAATATAATATAATAACAGAAAGGAATAAAAGTTTTTTACAAACCGTGTATCAAATTTATCTGCAATTAATTTCGATTCTTCGATCACCATTTCCTTTTCTTTTAATGTCGTGGTTTTGACAAATTTAACTGCTAGAACATCTAAATCAGGTATCTTTCCAGCCTAAAATTACAAATTTGAAAAATTGAAAACAATTGAAATTAACCAATCAAAATAAATAACAAGAAATTTATTATTACTACTACATACATTTTCAGTCAATCCACCACCCACGAGACGATGTTTCTCGCAATTTTTATTCAAAAAGTCAACAAAATCTTTTTCGGTTCTTCCACCATTATACTCAACGGGTGTTTTATCTTCACCCTTGGGGAAATATTTAATAGTGGGATATCCCTTAATTTCATATTTTTCACCTATGGAAGTGTGCGCAGTTGCATCAAGATTAGCCACAACGACCTATTATTATTTGATGGAATTATTAAAAATGGTTTATTAAATGTTTTATTAAATGCGCATAAAAAAGATTATAACTGTCACGTCTTACTTACATCAGGTTCTTGAGCAAAATCTTTGGCAACTTTTTCATATATTGGCGCTATTTTTGAAAAGAAAAGAAAAATTTTCTTAGATACTTAAATAACTAATGATAACTATGCAAAGTGACATCAAAAAAAAAATAAATTAATTAATGTCTTTACCCAAAGTTTTGCAGTGACCACACCAGGGTGCATAAAATTCAACCTTGTATCACAAATCAAATTAATCAAATTAATCGTAAGTTTATTAAATAACACGATGAATAAATAATTCGAATAATTCACATATGAATTCTTACCAATGCACATTTTTCAGGATCCATAACAATTTCATCGAATGATTGAGAAGTAAGAACTGTTACAGCAGAAATTTCTTTCTTTATTTTTGAATTGATACCTAAAAGTATTAAAAGTATTAATAATTATTAGACAATTGATACTATCTAATACTATTATTATTAATCTATATTCATTAAAATCTAAATCTTTAATATATTCACCAGTTTTTTTTTCTATAAAAGCAGATAAAGATTCTAAATCGCGGCCTTCATTATAATCTTCGGGAGCAAGTGAATTCTTATCGAACCATTTCAAAGTAGGAAATCCTTTAATTTCAAAACGTGTTCCTAAATCCTTATGATCATCTTTGTAACAAAAATAGGAATATTAAATTATTTTGTTAATTTTCAAATAATTATAATCATAATTCGCAAAATTCTCTATAATACCTGCATCAACTTTAGCAATAACGATACGATTTTTAGCATAGGAAAATGAATCGGCAAGCTTTTCATATATCTAATGAAAAATAAAGTCAAAAAATTAATATTATCATCCAAAATCAAAAATATAAAATAAAAACTTTACTCACGGGTGCCAAAGTTTTACAATGACCACACCACGGTGCGTAAAATTCCACTAATACAAATTTATCTTGGCCAACTATCTCATCAAAATTGCTGGAATCTAAAACAACGACGTTACTACTATCTTCGCTTCCATGTACGAAAGTTTTAAAGACCAGAAAAAGGAAAGTGAATAAAATCGAGAAATTCATATTTGAATCAAAAAAAATTTGATTTAAAAAAAACACGAACTACTTATAACATTATTGCATTATTATCCATATATGCATAATACGTGTAAGAACCACGTTGGTTTATTATTATACAAAGTTTTTCAACAAATATGCAGAACAAATGATTGCCCAATTATGGAAATTAACAAGTTTTCTTATAAAAAGGTAATAATTTATAATATAAACTAGTATATTGCTATTGATTTTTGTTAAAAAACTTCGGATAAAGCTAATTCGAGTTAACCGCTATAACCCTCATAATATTCATAATATTTTAACGCCCAACCTAGTCACTGTTAAATTTTTTTGCTATGTAATTTTAATTGGTCGAATATGTGGACAAATGATCAGTTACGCTTATCAATCGATGAACGCAGGGGATAGTGTTGCAAACGACAATTTAATACTTCAATGCAAGACGAAATTTCTAAGTCTCGTACGAGACCATAATGTAAGTATAATATGGTGGGACTAATTCAATAATTGTATTTAACTAACACTTTATGTCGGAATCCCACTAATTAATGTGTATATATGTGTGGTTTAATTGAAATACCATATGATGAACAAAATTTACTTGAAAATGTAAATGATGATATTATGTTTTGCTAATTATAGATTGTGCGAGCAAATACAAAGATTTTGTTTTTTTTTAACATCTAAAAACAGTTCGGAAGTTGCTGATGCATTTAGAAGTATTTATGAAAATTCTGCTGTTGGCCTCGATTATTACAATATGATATGGATCGTTTATTATGGATGATGTGAATCAATTAATAGATGCCGAAATTAGGAAAATTTAAAGCTCGTTTTAGTCACAGAAACTTAAGAAATAACAACTAAATAGTATTGCTTAGATACTTGATGATGCATTTGTTAATTGTTGTTTAATTTTGTGTTGCAAGTTGCTGTCGTTGTTGTTAAGGAATCTACATTATTAGTATTTTTAGAGTATTTTAGAGGCAGAGTATTTGACATTTTGAAAATACTGCGATTATTTAATAAATTATTTTTGGAGACAAAAAGGTTAAATTCGACTTGTCTAAAAGAATACCTTTTGTTTATTTGGAAATTGCTTTACGAGTTTTTCAATTGACCTAAAGTTAACGAAGCATTCGTTGTTGTTTCTTGATGATGCATTTGTTAATTGTTGCTGTTGTAATTGTTGTAATTGTAGTCGCGTTGTTGGAAGTTGTTTTGGTTGCGTCGTTTGTGAACGCGATGCAGTTGCAGTTGTTGAAGATTCTATTTCCTTTTTTTTCCAAAAAAAATAATTTATATATAATATGGTAAAATTAATAATAAATTTTAGAGACAAAGTATTGACGAACTATTTTTTTCACCTCGCTAGTTTTGTGTAATTTCTCCTTTAGGATTTGAAGTAACACTTCAATTTCTATATTAGATAAATAATAATCATAATTTTACAAGTCGTGATTTAGGTCTCTCTTTATACGGAAAAGATGAGTAACAAAGATTTGACTCGAATTGCGGATGATCGAAAGATTAAAAAATTCAATTATAATACATTTGAAGATATCAAACTAATTGCATGTGGAGCATTTGGTACAGTCGAACGGGCTTATTCGAACATTTTAGAAAAAGATGTTGCATTAAAATGTTTGCATAATGCAAATAATGCAAATAGTAGTTTTTACAAAGAATTTATGAATGAAGTAAATAAAATATTTTGTTTAAAACAATAATTATTATTAGAAACGAAATTAAATTCAATTGCTTTTTAAACTACTAGTTACAAAATATTAATGCAGTAAATCACCACAGAAATATTATTAAATTTTACGGAGTCAGTATAGGTAAAATAAATCACTATTATTTAAATTTTATTATTATTTAAATTTTATTTTAAATTTTATTATTATTTAATTTAGATCCTAAAAAAGAGAAATGTTACCTAGTGTTTAAATATGCTGAAGATGATTTAAGAAATTACTTACGAAATAATTTCAAAAATCTTGATTGGAAAACCAAAATTAATATGGTTCAAAATATAACAAATGGTTTATGTTATATTCATGAGAAAAATATTGTTCATCGAGATTTAGTAAGTATTGATTTTTTTTTGTAAATTTATAAATTATATAATTTCATATCTAAATATATATTTTTTTAATAGCATTCAAAGAATATTTTGGTTCATAAAGGAAAATTATTGATTGCAGATTTAGGCTTATCTCGATCATTAGATTCCAATTCTAATTCCTTAGCAGGAGGAATGTTTGCATACTCAGATCCTGAATATTTACGAAATCCGACAAGCTATAAAAGAAATAAACCTTCAGATATTTATAGTTTGGGGGTTCTTTTTTGGGAGATATCAAGTGGAAGACCTCCATTCGATAAATTTATCAATTTAGAAATATATGAATTAGTTAAATCTGGTAAAAGGGAATACCCATTAATGGAACACCAGAGAATTATATCAAAATCTATACAAAAGCATGGAAAGATGATCCAAAACAAAGACCAACTATAGAAAATATTTGTAATTCTCTTAAAAATAATCAATTTGAAAAAATATATTATAATTCAAACGAAAATGACCAATTTATTCAAAAAGTTAATCCTAATAATCAATTAAATAAATTTAAACCTATGGAACCTTACAGTAAAGATTCCGTGTCAATTGAAACTTCAATTAACTTAGCAAATTTAGAAATCGCAGGTATTGATAAATATAATTAATTTAAGCACATCAAGTAACTCTTGAATTTATGTTATTTATATTCCAATTTTTTCAGTTTTAGGAAATCCTGGAGAACCATCGACTATTTCTCTTAATTCTTACGACCAAGAATGGCTTAACAATGAACTTAAAAAATTTGAATATAATGTTTTTGAAAATCTTGAAGATATTGGTGAAAACGTTCACAATGCTACACTAATGAATGGAACAAAAGTAACTTTAAATTCGATTGTTGTTGATTCTATGGAATTATTTGTTAATGAGGTAAAAACTGTTATAATATATACAATACTACTAAAAAATTTGAAATTTATTTAAATTGAATATTTTACATTTTCAGCTTAAAAAGTATTTAAATCTCAAATCACATAAAAACATCACAGAATTCTATGGAATTTCACAAAAAGGTAAAAATTAAATCAAATCTATTCCAAATTAAAATTTATTTAATAAATATTTTTACCAAATTATATAATTATATATTTTTGATACAGATTTGAATAGTAGCAATTATATACTTGTATTGGAATATTCAAATGGTAAAACATTACGTAATTATTTGAAATCTAATTTTGAAAAACTTAATTGGTTCAACAAGTTAAAACTTGCTCAACAAATTGCTAAAGCAATTGAACATTTTCATTCATCTGATATCATTCATGGAGATATGGTAATTGTTTAAATTTGAATTTTTTATAATGAACAATTATTTTTTTTTAATTCTAATATAATTTTATTTTATAGAATTCGGAGAATATTCTTATTCATAATGAGACTATTAAGATTAGTAATTTTGGCATATCCAAACTTGTTATTGAACCTTCAATCGATTTATTAAATTCTTTAGGATTAATTAATTACTCGGATCCTCTGCTTCTTAAAGCAGATGGAAAATTTAGCAAAACTAAAGCATCTGACATATATAGTGTTGGAATTTTACTGTGGGAAATCTCAAGTGGAAAAGTTCCATATTATTCATATAAAACTAGATTACAAGATGAATTAGAAAAATTAGATTTAATTTCTTATATTATTCAGGGAAAAAGAGAAATTCCAATTGAAGGAACACCACAAAATTATGTTAAGATCTATCAAGGTTTGCTCTTATCATTTAAATTATTTAATTTATAAAAAAATGAATTTTCAACTTTGTCTCAATACAATTAATCAATATATTTATTCCAATTACATATTTCAATAGATTGTTGGAATCAAGACCCAGATCAACGTCCAAACATTGAGAAAGTTATAAAAGATCTTGAGTGAGTAATTTAATTATTGAAATCAAAATTTCATTAAAATGATTATGTGTTAATTAATATTTCGTTATTTTATTATTAATTCACATATTCACATTATTCATATTATACTATAGTATGTGAGTATAATTTAAATTCATAATTATTTAGATCAAGGTTTCTAGCCAATCTAATATCTAATAATACTTCTTTTATTAATTATAATGTAATTTATATTTTAGGCAGTGAGTATAATTTAAATTCATAATTATTTAGATCAAAGTTTCAAGCCAATCTAATATCTAATAATACTTCTTTCATTTATTATAATGTAATTTATATTTTAGGTGGTGAGTATAATTTAAATTCATAATTATTTAGATCAAAGTTTCAAACCAATCTAATATCTAATAATACTTCTTTTATTTATTATAATGTAATTTATATTTTAGGTGGTGAGTATAATTTAAATTCATAATTATTTAGATCAAAGTTTCAAGCCAATCTAATATCTAATAATACTTCTTTTATTAATTATAATGTATTACAGGAAGTAACAATTTATAATATGTTTTTAATTAATTGAATATCTTATTACAGAGGGTGAGTATTGTTTAAATTTAAATTCATGATTATTTAGATCAATGTTTCAAGTTAGTCTAACATCTAATAATACTTCTTTAATTAATTATCATGTAATTGAATACGCATCCTATTACAGAAATTGATTATTATCACAGGTCAAATATAAAAGAATAGACGGCTAAATAGGAAAGAATAGGATGGACGATTTGTCCGATTTCTAATTTTATATATTTAGGAATTCCAATTTGTGATTATTTTAGCCAGCGATTTTTTTTGTTTTTAACCAGTGTATTTAGATCTAATAATACTTCAATCTTATTAAGATTGATATAGCAATTATAATGCATAAAATAATATTTTGAGTTCTCTAGTTAATAAAAACTTCGGATAAAGCTAATTCGAGTTAACCATGTTCTATGTATTCTCATAACTCAATATTTTAACGGAACCTAAGTATAATAGGGTGGGACTAATTCAATAAGCGTATTTAACTAACAAATTATGTCGAAATCCCACTAATTAATGTGCCAGTACATGGCTGGAAACAAAGCTGGACGACGAATCAATTATGCTAGATATTCCAGAATATCAAAACCAAATAGTGTATATATGTGCGATTTAATTGAAATACCATATGATGAACAAAATTTACTTGAAAATGTAAATGAAGATGATATAATATGTTTTGCTAATAATAGATTGTGCGAGCAAATACAAAGATTTTGTTTTTTTAACATCTAAACAATTCGGAAGTTGTTGATGCATTTAGAAGTATTTATGAAATTCTGCTAAACCACTTCTGTTGGCCTCGATTATTATGATATGGATCGTTTATTATGCAATTAATGGATGAAACTAGGAGAATTAAAGCTCGTTTTAGTCACAGAAACTTGATTGCTACGCTGGACTTTTTATTTATCGGATTTTTAAAAAAATCAATATGCAATAGAGAATGTACGTTTTGCACGAAAAATTGTAGATGATATGAATAATACTTCAACACGACTTATAAGTGTGGAGCCAGCAAATTGAAAAGGGTATATTTCGAACCATCAACAAAATATTATCATCCAATAGGTATTGATGAACCATAGCTATCAAAAGGCACCACAGTACGATTTTTACTTGCTTTTGGAGAATGGGAAAATGATTCTGCCCATTATGTCCTAAACTGTCCTAAACGTCCTAAACCCTTTAGCCCGAATCACTAATTGAATGTGCTAAAGAGTGTTTATTATAAAATACATTTACTTTGAAGATGTAATAAAAATCATATTTAGTATAGCTCTCTTGGTAGTATAAAAAATAGCAATATATGGTGTCCCTACTGTTCAAAATATAAAAGAGAAATTTTGTGCCACAAGATTATATCAAAATATCTTGGACCGCCATCTAAGATACGTCGACCTGATTTTCTTAAAACACTAGAATATCCTGCAGGATTAGAACTCGATATATTTTATCCTGAATATGGCTTTGCAATCGAAGTTCAAGGAGAACGACACGGAAAATATATTGAATTCTTTCACGGAGGTGGTCCCAACAATTTTATCAAAAGTAAATGCGGGATCGACTCAAGAAAGAATTGTGCGAAGAAAACTATTGTGTGGTATTACGCGAGAATTGTGACTTTAAATCATTACAAGTGCGTTATTTAGTAACATAGAGGTATTATATGTGTGTTATTTTTTCCTAACGAATCAAAGCTACTAAGTCTCGAACATAATATGTATAGAATATTAATGGCACTACGCAAGGTAGACTAAGGTGAAAATATTTTACGAACTATTGCTCAGTCAAATTCACAACAAACTGTATACAAAGTTAAATATTTCATTTCGAAAAAAAATGTAAAGACTGTCACATTGAAAAAGCACATTGATAATATTTACTACGTTTATAATAAAATATGATAATGCACAGCAATATCTTCAAAATCTCGGCTAAAATAATTTACATAAATTACACGAACGTCATTATTTATTTTGCGAGTTTGAATTGTATAAGGCATTAAATAAATATGAAAATTTTTATATTGTGAAGAGAGTATTCTTTACTACAGAAAGTTTGGATCTTTCTATCAGATAAACATATGACTAGGTTCCTTTGTAATGTGTAATTATCATCATCAATGCGTCATTATAAAGATTTTTATAATAATAAATATCCGTTTTCAAAAAATCGTCTGTACAAAATTCTTTGAAATCAAAATTACCAAAAATATTCAAAAAGCCAAAGAAAGCTTCAAGTAGGTTTTTAGCAGTTATATTCATTCTGCATTTTCGGAATGTTAACGTGCCAACCATTCACAGGTCTAACCCGCCTGAAATAATTATTGATGCCGATACTGGTTTGCAATTTTCGTATGTGCTAGTTGTCATTTGTATATTCTAACAAAGTAAATAGGAAACATTTCGTATGCAAACCTGGGAGCCTGATCTCGAAATAAAGGTTGAAAATCCGAACCTTAAGGCTAAAGAGCCTGATCTCGAAAGAAAGTTTGAAAATCTGAACCTTAAGGCTAAAGAGCCTGTTCATGAACAATATCCCGAGAATGTATCTGCGGATCCGGATCTCGAAAGATTTGCTGTCTTGATGATGAATATTTTGCAAAGAATAAAGATAACTTTAAGAAATTCTATGGCTATAATAATAATAATAATAATAATAATAGAATCTGATTATTTAACTTATACTAATGCTCACCGACGTCATGAGGTCTTTTGTTACATTATTGATGATGATTGGGAAGATGGTGAAGAGCAAGCAAAAAACGCCATCGCATATTCCCATCTACTTGAATCTAAAAATCTTGATGCATCAAAAGGAACGCATATATTACTTGTTCATGGAGAAATAGTACGTTATGGAGAGGAAATAACATCTGTTGAATACAATCAACTTGCCGAAGATTATCCGAGAATGTATTATGTTCCTATTGTTAGAAAAATTGTTAGGGTACGCAATCAATGATAACGCAAGGAAGGAATGGCAGGTTTGTATTTATAACTTATGATATCTGTCAAATGCAGAATAATATCATCATCGGGTTTGCCATTTGCCATGAATCCAGATAGTTCAGATAAAGTAAGAATGACGAATGAAGAAAATGGTTTCCGCATGGATATAGCTTTTAATAGAATTACAAACTTGAAAAATTGCTTAATAAATAATTATAGTATTGCATCTAGTTTTTTTAATCCAATAATGTGTACAAGTATATACACATTTTAAAAAAATCAAAATCCAATTCGGACACATTTAATTTTAAAAACATTTGAAATTGTATTGTATTGTATTTGACCTGAGAATGACGAACTTGCAATAAGACTGAGGTTTAATACTCTATTAAATTTACAAAAGGAGAGAGTTATGGCAGAAACACAAAACAAAAAATACATCACTAGTTGAATCAGAAAAGAAAGTATTGAAACAATATTCCGGAATATCTTTTAGTTATTACAACAATTCCGATGATATATTTCACTGCAACACGTCTAAATCCACATGTCCATCTTGTCAATCTAAACCATAAAGAAAATATCGTCTTATAATATTAGATGTATGTTAAATTATACAAGTGGAATTTTTATAACAGTGTAAAAAATAAACCCAGAAGAGTCGTCCCTAAGAGGCTTAATATTACGGCTTAATATTGAGATTTTTTATTTATCGTGCCATTGTTCTTTAGAAAAACATTCCCCATGAAATTATTTTTGAACGAGTTCTTGACCAGATCATTCGAAGGTAAAGAGATCAATGAATTGGTAAAGAAATTGTAATTCAATCTTAGCTTTCTTGTTATTGATAAGACGAGACTTCACGATAAATACGAAATCTAGTATCTGAATATATAAAACTAGAAAAGGATATAAATGAACTTTCAAGTCTAATAGCCCGTAATTTGCCGGCCAAAAGCCCCGCCCGGGCAAAGTACGCCGAGTACATTTTATGGTTTTGTGTAGTGGTGATATAAATACCCGGATACAACTCAAGTAGAGAAAATTTTTTTTTTATTGAATTATTATTATTATTATTTTATTATTATTATATGTATGAAAACCCTATTTGTCACTTTTATTTTCACCTGGTAATCACATGAAAGCAATTTTACTCGGGGGTGACTACATCTATTAACTTTAATATGGGGCAAATTATAACTTTATTTAATATGTATAAAATTTTTTTACATGAGTTGATCATTGATCAGCTTAACGATATATTGTATTTTATTTTTAATGATTTCAAAACACGCTTTAGGCTTTTCTTTATTGATTTTATTTTTACAAATAATAATAATAATAATAATAAATATACCTGTAATAAATTCAAATTATATTAAAAATTAAATACAAAATTGCAATATTATTTTTACAAGTAAATTATTTGCAAAAATTTATGTTACATTTGATTTTCAAAAATTTAAAGTTATTTTTTTTTTGATGTCATCAAATGTCCTTAATTTATTAACTACAAATTTGCCTTGTTTACATATTATAATGAAGGTTACAAGAAATTAAATATATAATATAGTATAATATTGAAATTATTTGATAACAAAAAAAACTAATAAATTATAAGAAAATATATTTACGTGGTATAATAATACAAAGTACATTGTAGTCATGGTGATTCGTTGGAAATTCTATAATTTAATTTGTTTTAATTCAATAAAATGTCAAATATAAATAAAAATTGTCAAAAAAAAAAAGGCATCAGAGTTGATAATGACTTTAATACCTTTCAAAATCCCAAAAACCAGGAACCAATTTAGGTCTGTCCCATTCCCGTATGTTATCATAAACTATTGACTTTTCTTCTACACAATTATCTTTATTATCTTTAAATTTAGGTCTGTCCCATTCCCGTATGTAATCATAAGTTTTTGACTTTTCTTCTAAATTATCTTTATTATCTTTAAATTTAGGTCTGTCCCATTCCCGTATGTAATCATAAGTTATTGACTTTTCTTCCATATAATTATCTTTATTATCTTTTAATTTAGGTCTGTCCCATTCCCGTACGTAATCATAAACTATTGACTTTTCTTCCATATAATTATCTTTATCTTTCTGTCTTTTCTTTCGAGCAATATAATCTGAATCACTATCTGAATCCGTATCTTTATCTTTCCGCTTCTTTTTTGATTTATGTTTCTTCTTTTTATGTTTTGATTTTTCTTTATGACTTTTCTTTTTATTCTTTTTATTACTATTGACAGTTTTCTCTTTCAAACTTTTTTCGAATGCTTCATAACTAATCCTCCCATCAATAAATGGATCAATGTCAGTCATAGGATCATAATCCTTACGAAAATATTTATCCATCTTTGATCCATTACTAACCTCCCCACGTCCTCTGTGTGATTTTGTAGGCGCCTCTTTTTTGTTTCCTTTATGTAATATACCAGGTAAATTCTGATTACTATTGTTTTTGGTAGAAATATTAGTCTCATGGACTTTATGTTTTTGTATTCGTCTTTTTTCTCTAATTATTAGAAAAACGTTGATAAGTAACATTACAATTTAAAAAGGAAATAAACATCAATATTGATTCTTACTTTGAATTCGATTCATCAGTATCTGATGTATCGGATTCATAATCGGAAATAATTTTAATAATTTTTCTTCGATTGTTATCGACTCTGTTGGGTGATCTACTGTGCTCGCTTACACTATCATCGCTTACACTGTCATCATCGCTTACACTATCATCATCACTAAAACCTCGTAATGAACGCCTGCGTCTTAGTTTGCGCATACGAGCAGCAGCTTCTTCTGCAGTCTTTCTTATCAATGCCTGGTTATGATCATCTACATTTTTGACAACATTTAATAAAAATCGTTTATTTGTTTTGGGCAGAGTGCATTGTGGTCTGAAAGGAGTAATTATTAGTTATAATAAAAAATTTAAAATATGTAATAAAATTTGATAATATTATTGTCTATTTACGTTTCAGTGCGTGGTAAATAAGCTTTAATTCCTTCCTTATTGTATAACTTATTTTTAGCTGATGCTTCCTTCAAAATTAAATCGGCTATATTTTTGTCTAAATCTTCATCACAGTTTGAAGGAGAGACACCACCAACGGAAGCTCTAACAAATTGGTTAACAATTACGGCTACAGCTGATTTTGGCTTGGGAGTAGGAGTTTGGTCTTTAGACGACATCAATTTTTTAATAATAATAATTCATGCAAAATTTATTTATTCTAATTGACCACGTGGTCTTTTATTTACAACCTGCATTCATAGAGTAAAGCGTTTAAGATAAATTGATAAAATTACAGAATTATAGATAATTATGTGAGATGAAAAAGATTTCTATTTTTATTATATCTATTATTATAACTATAATCAAAATTCTGCTTAATAGTAAATGACTAATGAAAAAAAAATGAACCGAACAACAAATAATTCAAAAATAATTCAAAATAATTCAAAAATAATCCAAAAAGTTTTGTTGTATAAAAATAAAATAATTAAAAAAAAAAAAAACTCTTTTTTAAAATGCCGCCATCACTCTCATGTCTTCAATTTTCTTTTGTATTTCTGCTGTGGTTCTATCTAATTCTTCAGCAATAAATTTCTTTTTTTCTAATGGTAATAGATTATATTGTTCACACAAATCTCCATCAACAACTGCCTTCACTGGTGAATAAAAACTTCGATATTGTAAATGATCACGACCTGCAAGTGGTGGAGCTTCATTTCTCATATGCATTTCAAGAGTTTGGAAAAAATCTATGTCCTCCCTTGTTACAAAAGGTACAAAAACTCCAATATCTCCCATTATTCCAGTATATACTAGAATTTCACGTCCTCCAGCTACGAGTGTCGTTCGATGAATTGATGTTATAATGTCTCCCGCATGATAATGTGTAATATGAGATACCTAAATAAACAATAAATAATCAACAAATAAACAATAAATATTTCATTACTGTAATTCTGATTGAAACTTTTATATTAATAAGGTAATAAAAATATTACTTTGTGAGGTGCTCCCATCAGATATCCTTTTTCATACATGATCTTATTACCAGTAGGATCTTCATCTACTTCTTCACTTGTCTCTGCTGGTAGTCGATCAATAAAGAAATTTCCAAATTTATCACCACCAGCTAATGTATCATAATCTACCATAACAGTGGACGTTATCCATCTTGGTGTAGTATCATCAGCGAAAATGATAATACGATTATCGTGTTGCCGGTAAGAAGCATAATGTACTGATTCTTGCATATCACAAATAATAATGCGATTTCCTTGTGTATGTAAATTGACAATACAATTCGGGATTGCCTTTAATATAAATATTGTAAGTAAATTTTTTTTAAAAAAGTGTTTTATTCGATTTCTTATTGTCAATATATTACAAACCTTTGTTTCGCATTTTCGCAAAAGTTTTCTTTTTCCTAAATCATATATCCTCAATGCTTTACCAACCCCAGCAAGAAGCCTACCTTGGAATCCCAATAATGCTAGAGGAACATCATCACATTGTGTCTAAATATAAAGTACAATACCAAATTACCTAAATTAAATTCACACCAAAAATAGAAAAAAATAGGAAAGATATTTAGATTTTCAAAATTTTACCTTGTGAACTAATTTCAATGATTTCCCATCATCCACAAATTGATATACGTGTAAATATCCCACTGAACATGTTCGAGGTGCTAAATTTGCATCCTTTGCGGTTCCGATAACAAGGAAAGATTCGTTATTTTGATTGTGAAAATTCACAGTGGCAATGCTTAAAAGATATTAATTTAATTTAATTAAATTTTGATTAATTAATGAAACAAAAAAAAAGAATTCATATTAATTTATATATATCAAATTACCTAAATGCCGCCTCATTTTCTTCTAATTCAATTAATGAAGTTGTTTCTCCAATAAATGGATTAATGACTCGAATACATGAAGCCCATTTACCTGCCTCTGCTTTAGGAAGTCCAAATGTTTCAGATGGCAAATCCAACAAATTTTGATCAAATTGTATTCCCATTTTTTGTTTAGCTTCTAAAACTTTTTTCTTCTCAAGTGGAGAATACGTATTATGCTCGGTTTCAATAACTACAAAATTCCTTGAAGGCGGATGAAGAATAAAATGACGTGGGGTATATTTAAGTTGAATAACTGCTTGATTAAATACGGTGCCGAGTTTTTCAACAGCAAAAATTCGTAAAGTATTCGCGGAAATGGCGACTATTCCTTCCGGAACTTGTGGTGAAGTAAAATTGGAACCATATTCTAACATATCATAAGAAAGAGGCGTAAGATGTAACCTCGATTGAAAGGTATAACTAAGCCAGGGTCGACTTGATAATGCCAAAACTGCAGGTTGTCCTTGTATTGTGACCCGAAAGAGTTTTACCGGTCGAGCACCTAAAAATCTATATAATAATTAACATCAATAATAATATCGCGTAAGTTTATAAAAATGAATGATTATCAATTTATTCAAATTTACGAAAGAATGTCAATACCTTTGTCTAGTGTCAGTTAATGCACCTGTTATATTGTCCAATACAGTACGTAACAATACTCCATTTTGAAGTCCAATGTTTAGATAAAGGGTACCGTGTGATGCATCAGTTTCGATATCCATCATTTCAATAATAGACAAGGATTGTGGTGGTGCGCTTAAACCCTGTAAAAAAAAAAATTTTAAAAATTTATTACAATATAATAAAATAAATAAAATAAAATAGATAAAAAACCAAATTTACCTGCGTACTAAGAACCTCCAATGTATTATCGGGATCAAGGGATAAAATTCTTACGGCATTGTCATCACAACCCACAGCCTTTATTATTAGTTGTTATTCAATAGAATCCAATAAATATCAGTTATTATCATCTTTTGATGAATTATTGTGTTTAATTAACGTCCGTAAAGAATTATATATGTATTTACCAAAAACCTTGACCGTTGCCTTTCTTCAGGAACTTCGCCAACACTTAAACATGTCACATTTGCGGACATTTCTTTACGATCTTGATACTCATTCAACTGTCCTTGATTGTCTAATTCAAAATATACGAGTTCACCACCAGTTAACGCTATAACAACTTGACGCTTGTTAGTGGCCGCTTTAACTATTGCTCTATTTCCGGGTGTTTTCCATTCATTAACGCGACGATCTGCACGGATATGTCTTATGCCTTGAGGGTATATCTTTTGTATTATACTTTTGTATTATTATTTTTATATTCAAAACGAAAACTGACATTAGAAATAACTAATATTTTTCTAACCTGAAGTAATGCATCATCTCCAAGTTGATGAACATCTAAAGTTGGCGTTGTGGCGAGAAAACCAGTATCAGTCACTTCTTCTACTGTTTCGCCAATAGATAATACTAATGTTGCGTTCATAAATGATACTATAATGTATGCATCATATTCATCTGCACGATGTTAAAAGTAAAGGAGTCAGAAAAGTTCTATTATATAATTCACAAACATAAAGGAAATTAACATACCATCAGCCATTAATTTTGTTGTCCATACAGCATTGGGATTACCAGGTAATTCGGAAACAGCCATTTCGGAAATTTCAAGCCCATGCCTCAATATTCGAAAAGTTGATCCGGCACCTCGACCACATAAAGCGTATAATTGTGGCGTATCATCGTCTGTCAGATTTAAAATCTAAATAAATTCAATTTCTTTAAACAAATTCTTTTTCATCTCTTATATAATTTTAATAAGTAAAAAGGTATATAATCTATTACTTTAGCATCAATCAATGGATTTAAGCTTTCTAATTCATCTGCACGTTCCAAATTTTGCAGTTCTCTCGGTGTGAAATATACTGATGATGGATGATTTGGATCCATAAAATCAGCGCTAGACCATTCTGGTTCGTCATTATCATCACCGAGACTTGTGAATGAATAAAGTCGACTATCATAATAAAAACATATAATTAAAGATAGCGCTAGAATAAATTAATTCTTGCTAAAAAAAAAAAATTAGAAGATAATTTTTAAAACAAAATAACCCAATTGACATACTGATTCCCGAATTCCGAAGCTACAAACAAGAAACCGGCTCTTAGTATACATAATGACGCCGCGATAGGCACGGTATCAAAATATTTTATTTTAATTGCGTTCACCTTATCATCCTCGTAATCAAGTGTTATTTTATAAATATCGCCTTCTTCACTTTGGAGCAAGAAAAAGAAGACCCCTTTCATCTTGTGCATTACGCCAGCAACAATTATTAGCCCACGTGATGGATCTTCCAGTGGATTTCGACGACGTGGAATAGGAACGCGAAGTTCAGGTACACGTTGATGTTTATAAGTTATGAAATTCTCTGAGCAAACCAAAACTCCAGAAGGACCATCATTACCTCCAGGAACTATTATGTCATTAAAATTATTCTCAGCGAACGTCTATTAAAAATAATTAAAATAATTAAATAAAGAAATTTAAGAAATTTAATATTTACCAGCAAATAACATATTTGCCCGTGCATCAACTGGATCGCTCCATTTTCTAACAACATGATTAAGACCAAGATCCAATTCATAATAAGTTAACATCTAGATAGATAGATAGATAGATAAAAATTTGATTAACTAAATTTATAAGCAAAAAAAATTAAAAAAAAAATTATTAAAAAAAAAAGGAAATAATAATACAATATTTTGTATTTATAAATAAACTTGCCTTTTCAGTATTATTAAATGCCTCACCAGTTGGATCAAGATCAGCTTCTGAATAATCCACTTCCAAACAAGCGAACACTGGATTCTCATATCCCACATCTAAGCCAATACAATGATGTACTAAAGTATGTGATTTATGTGCTTCTAAAGGAGATGATATTGTTAGATTTGCTGCCGAATCACGATTAAGAATGTATACTAGCTTCTGTTTTTCAATTGCACCTTTTTTTTTGTAATTTTGTAATTTCATTGATTTGTTAATAAAAAAAATTCGTGCTAATAAAGATAAAAGGTTTGAGGATTCATATGAATTATTACCAATCATAACAGATCTCCCTTTTGGATCTACTGCTAAATATTGTCCAGGAACAATTCGACGACATCCTGATTTTCCAAAAGTTTCTTGATGAATTTTATCAAATTTATTCTTAATTGGATTATATTCTAAAATGACTACACGTCCTGAATCGGATCCAACTATAATATAATCTGTAGAAAAAAAAATTATAACAAGAAAAATTCAAAATTCACAGTTAAATTTCTCTTTTTTTGAAAAATACTATGTTTACTCTTAATCTTTAAAAACAATTTTCTCAATAATTCATCCAATTTATTGAAAAATCTCACACCTTTTGAACCTCCAGTTAGACGAAAAGGCGTCAAAGACCTTATTATCCCAAAAACATCGTGAGTTAACAGAGTTTGAAGTTTTCCTGAATTAGGATCAGCTTTAAGAAGTTCCAAACGCGTCACTCTCGAAACAACAATTTCTTGTTGCTTTGTACCCGAAAAATGACCAACGACTGCAACATTAATTGAAGTAGGAGGTTGTAAAGTTAGGTTGTAAAGAAACATATTTCTTAAGGTGGTCTTCGAAGTTGATATAATTTGATTTATATACCAATTGCGCCATGGTTACACGAGGTCGCCTTTAAAATTTTAGAAAATCATTTTTTCGTTTATTTAATCATCTTCCCAACAATGGTGGGTTTTTAATTAACGATCTTGCTAGAATATTTTTTATCTTACTTGTAAACTATAACTTTTTTAACTTAAAAAAATGTAGTCTTTAGCACCTGTACAAATATTTCAGGATGAAGCCACCGAAGAACGCGCAGAAAACGCGCGATTGGTATGCTTGCTAGTTACTTTTGACAAAAATTTTCCAAATCCTTAGATTTACTTAGATCTTCTCATTTTTTCTATTAGTCATCATTCGTTGGTGCTATAGCAGTTGGAGATTTAGTTAAAAGTACATTAGGTCCAAAGGGAATGGTATGAAGAAGTTATCTTAACCAGGTTTGCGCTATCGAACTTGTTGAAAACAAAATTAAATGATTTTTGTGTCATTAAATTTTTTCATTTTATAGGATAAAATTCTTCAATCTATGAGTAAAGGGGATATAATGGTAACAAACGATGGAGCAACTATTCTTAAAAGTATTGCTCTCGATAATGCAGCTGCCAAAGTGCTTGTCAGTATCCTTTAAATATTCGAACACGTTAAATTATAATATTATATGGTTATTATATCCATATTGTCTATATATATTGTCTATATTATCTTTAATCCTTAAATTTTAAATACAGATATATCTAAAGTTCAAGATGATGAAGTTGGCGATGGGACAACTTCTGTTTGCGTGCTTGCAGCCGAATTATTACGTGAAGCGGAAAAACTTGTGAGCCAAAAAATTCATCCACAAACCATTATTGAAGGTTATCGTATTGCCAGTACATCAGCATTTAAAGCATTAGAAGCTTCTTCTATTGATAATGGGTATTTTTAATTCATTCATTTTATATGTACACGATTAAGGCATTATTTAAAAATTGATTCATGATATTTTATTATTTTTTTTTTCTTTTAAAAATTTGTATAGAAATGATCCAGAAGCATTTCGCAAAGATTTATTTAATATTGCACGCACAACATTGAGTTCTAAAGTTCTATCACAAGACAAAGAATATTTTGCTAAACTTGCTGTTGATGCTGTATTGAGGCTTAAAGTATGAAAATTTCTTTTTTTTAAAAAAAATGTTTTTTAAAGAAAAATTAATTCAAAGAAGATTGTTATATACAAATTTTCATTCTATTATTAATTATAGGGTAGCACAAACCTTGAGAATATCCAAATCATTAAAAAAGTTGGTGGAAAACTTACAGACTCTTATCTTGATGAGGGTAATTTATTGCCTCATTTGAAATTTATATTATTATGTCTGTAATGAAATTGACGATTTCATTAATTCGCAATTTATTAGGTTTCATTTTAGATAAAAAGATTGGTGTCAATCAACCAAAGAGAATCGAAAAAGCGAAAATTTTAGTTGCAAATACACGTAAGTGAATATGAACATTCTTGTATTATTATTATTTATACACCTTATTAATGCAATTATTTATTTATTTATTTATTTATTTTAAATTATAGCAATGGACACTGATAAAATCAAAGTATTTGGTGCACGAGTAAAAGTGGATTCCACCGGGAAATTGGCCGAATTAGAAAGAGCCGAGAAGGTAATATATATATATATATATATTTGAGGTATACATTATATTTTAATTTTTAATTTAATAAAATTTTCATATTTAGGATAAAATGAAGGAAAAAGTGGAAAAAATTAAAGCCCATGGAATTAATTGTTTCGTTAACCGACAATTGATCTACAATTGGCCTGAGCAACTCTTTGCAGATGCTAATATCATGTCAATAGAACACGCCGATTTTGACGGTATTGAACGATTAGCCTTGGTGACTGGTAGGCAGGCATAGATTATTTTGTATTATAAATCCTTCGTTTAATTCGTTTAATTCGTTAATTCTTCAGTTTATATGGTTTATGTGATATTTTTTTCTTAAATTTATTTAGGTGGCGAGATCGCCTCTACATTCGATCATCCTGAACTCGTAAAGCTAGGATATTGTGATCTTATAGAAGAGGTTATCATTGGTGAAGATAAGGTTTGTAAATGAAAAAAAAAATAATATCAATTACAGATATATTTTTTTTATTAATAAATTAATTTTCAAATAAATTTAAATAAAGTTAATTAAATTTTCTGGGGTCGCTGCGGGTGAAGCTTGCACAATCGTTTTGCGCGGTGCTACACATCAACTTCTGGATGAGTCTGAACGATCTTTGCACGATGCTTTGAGTGTCTTAACACAAACAGTCAAGGAAACACGTACAGTACTTGGTGGAGGTTGTGCGGAAATTCTCATGTCAAAAGCAGTTGATGAAGCAGCCGCAAAAACAGCGGGCAAAAAAGCAATTGCTATTGAATCGTTTGCTAAAGCCTTGAGACAGGTTATTTTTATTTATCCATTGTAATTACATTCCTAATACTTTCTTTAACATGAATAATATTTTCTTGTATCAAAAAAAATTTAGATTCCAACGATTTTGGCTGATAACGCGGGATATGACAGTGCAGATCTTGTTGCTAGATTGCGAGCAGCCCATTATGACGGGAAATCAACATATGGATTAGGTAAATGCTGTAATGAATTTTGAATCATTTGAATAAGCGAATAATAATCCATTTTATAGATATTCTAAACAATTCCATCGGAGATATGAGAGAAATTGGAGTTACCGAATCATATAAACTAAAACGTCAAGTATTAATTAGTGCTTCAGAAGCAGCTGAAATGATTTTACGTGTTGATGATATAATTCGATGTGCACCGAGGTATTGTGATTTCTGATATTTTAATTGTTTTAAATTTATTATTTATTTATTTATTTATTCATTTTTATATTAATTTTATCTACTTTTATCTACAATTTTATAGGAAACGAGAAGGACAATAAAATTGCTAATTTATAGATTTATAAATTTTTATTGAGAATTTTTCATTGTTTTTTTTTCGTTATATATAATTGTCCTTTAGAGGGTATTTGAAAACCAAAAAAAAAAAAATTTGATTGCAATCTTGTTCTTTCAACTAAAATTTAATAAATTAATCTATAATTACAAGATAAAAATCACGCGATTTTTATTATTATTATCTATATATTATTAATATTATTAATATTGTTATTATTAAAGTTTTCCAAAAAATAAATTAATAAAATAAAAAAAGGAATTTTAGGTCAACCCCATGCTGCACTGGTACAATAATTTATTATTAGATGTTGGTCTGTACTAAAACACTAAAGAAAATTAAAGAAAAATGAGTTTAAATTTTTTTTTTTTTGATCGGACATTATTGGATATTGTCTGTTTACATATTATAAAATATAATAAAAATATAAATATAGGAGATAATTTTTTTGCATACCTTGTGCAAATTAGCCACAATCTCGTCGGGTGCGGGAGAAAATGCACTGTTAATATATAAAAACTATTTGATTTAAACAAAAAAGATCGAGCTTAGTGTATTATAGACTCCTAACTACTTTAAATACTATATGATATTAAATGATTTTTTAAAAAAAAATTTACCAAAGGATCTGACGTTTTGTAATTAAGTTCCTTTCTCAGGAATTGAATCACAGCTTGAAACTTATTAGAAGCGGTGATTTTGTAAAAGTTTTGTTTTAAAATGGGTGCATTACCTATGGCTCTAAATCGGACAACAACTTTATTAATTATTAATATGGAAGTAAAGAAAATAATCAGAAAAATGCTTATAAATTTTTAAAAGACCGAAAATGAAAACTAAATAACTTTGACGTACCTTTACTTGAATCTTTCTTTTTATATTTTTCAAGTGCAGTAGCGGGGTTTAAACTCACTTGAGAATTAGCATTCTCGACGAGGTTTGTATTTAGGAAAGTAGAAGAAGAATTATTAGGATATGTTGTAGTATCAGAATTCGCTATCGACATCATGGTATATTTCAAAATATAAAAAAAGCTTGCATAAATTTTTAATATCGTATATTGTAATGTAGATCATTAATCATGCAACGTAATTGGTCAACTAAAATTTAATCGTCACAATTATTTGCTCGTGAAAACAATATTTGTCACTTCTTTCTGATCACCAATAAAATTAACGAATTCAAAATATTTATCACGTGTTAGCCAAATAACTTCGCATTCAAGAAACTATATTAATCAACATTGTAAAAGCGAAAAGAGTAACTCATTATATATATTGAATGCAGAAATTCATACATTTTTATTTTTTAATTCTACAAATTTATTCGCATACTGTATTTTTTGCTTCACTTTACAAAGTAGCAAATCTAAAATAAATCAAAATTTGTTAAACCTTTTCTATTATTATTATCATTCGAAATTTAATATCGAGTTGAACTTATCCTGCACGTAAAATTAGATTAAAGTGTTGAAACTAACTTAAATAATTATTAATATTCGAAGTTAAACAAAAAAAATTAACGATACAACAATAAATTATTATAATAAAGAAAATAAATCGATCACTGATTTTTATGGGAATCATATTTCTACCAAAGCAAAGTTTGTGATCCATGTTTGGCCATATCTTTTGTTACAAAAGTTGAATTTAAAAAAAAAAATTGATTAATAAAATAAATTAAAAAAAATTAGAAAGTAATTTGATAAATTTAAATTACCTATGACTCTCCATCCATTGGTCAAGGGATCGGTCAACATGTCTTCTTGCTTTGTAATGACGCAAGCATAAGTAGCTTGATCAATTTGGTCTTCTCTTCCATATATTATTTCTTTTGTTATTTTATCACGAAAGACGACGACTTCTTGTGCATGAAATGATAGAACTAACACTGGTACATCATTATCTAATACTTTGGCTGTAACCAACTTTTAATTTTAATTCAAATGTAAATTTAAATTATATGAAAATGGATATTTATTGTTTATAGAGAATATAAAGAAAATAAAGAATATAGAAAATAAAGAATATAAAAAATAGATAAAACGTATATTAATTTTTTTTTTTAATTACCTCGACATTTCTGATATCAAGTATTCTTGAATCACTAACAAGGCCTTGTTGAATAAATTCTTTAAAACCATGTGTCAATACAGAATATGTCTATATTCATAATTATTAAAAAAAAATTAAAAATTAAAAATTTGGTCTTCTATAAAATGTATAAAATTTAAATAAAATAATTCATACCGCTTCTGAACACCATATTTTCAAGGTTTCGGCATCTCCTTTTAAATATGCTTCCATAATTTCTGGTACGATAAACTTTCTAGCTTCTTCCATAAAATCTTCCAAATTAAATTTTGGATCTTTCAGCTTAAGCTGACGAATAGCAAATGCCGTTTCATTTTCTTCAAAGAAAGAGCCTTTCAAAAATCAAAGATTATTTTAGATATTTCTCGTGAATGCAAGGATTATAAAATAATAATAATAATAATAATATAAACCTAATGCCTCTGATATTCGATCAGTGAATCCTCGGGTAAAACTGATAATAATACTATCGCTGTCTTGATAACTTTTTTTCAAGTTAAACATTCCTTTAAATTACAAAGATCAAAAATTCTTTCAGCATAAAAAGAACATCCCAAAATAAATATTTGGTCTAAAATCAAAATATATATTTATGATGTAAGATTATTTAACAAACCTTGCATGATTGGATTGGTTTCCTTAAACTTGTTCCAACTTTCTTTCCAGGCCGAATCTTTATGAAGAACCACCGAAGAACCAGCTCTATGAGAACAAAATTGGAATGTTGCATCTGTAAGCCATAAAAATTTATCAGAACAAAATTTTTTTTCATCCATTTTTTCTTTTTTTTAAATATGATTTTCTATATCATACAAATATATATAATTTAAATAAGCATACTTTGGATTTATTTTAACACTATTTCTTTCAGAATTGGAAATTGCCTCCTCTTTCATTTTTCGTCTAGTCTCTTTATCGACAAATCCACCATAACGTGATGCATCATCACCCACAGTCTCTTTTATTGTATCACGAATATTCTCATATGCTTTTGTTTGCCTTATGGGTTCAGTAGCTGAAGATACTTTATCTGTCACTATTGAAATCTAATAAAATAATAAAAAAGAACGCGTTAAAATATCTATAATTTATATTTGAATAAATAAAATATAGTTTATCAAGTAACCTTTTCTTGAGTTCCTTTAACAAATGGTGTCTCGCCAACTTCTTTTAACGTTTCCGACACACTAACACTTATTTTTTCGGCTGATTTTTTTATCTCTTTAAGTTTTTCTGATCCAAATGTTGTGGTAGATTCAGCCCCTTCCTATAAAAAAAAATTTTACATTAGATCCTCCTTTTTTTTTCTCATAACTTTAATAAAAAGGTAATGATGTTCTTAAGATTTTAACATATTAATATACCTTTGCCTTTGCATAAACTTGTTTTGCTTTTCGTAAAGTCTCTGATTCACCAAGGTGGCCAGCGTGATCTTGCAACAATTTTACATTCTGTTGCAATTCTTTATTCTTTTCAAGTTGTTCTTTTATTGTTTCCATAAATTTTGCAAAAGCACTCATATTACGAGCCGGAATGACTTGTAAATTAAGGCGAGTTTTAAAAAACATGATATTTGGATTTGTAACCGAAATACGTGAAAAAAATCGAGTTGAAGACATTGTGAAGAAGTGATAAAAAAAAATTTTCACGATTAAATTTTTATTAAATATAAAAGATGTGTAATAACTTTCACGTGATAGATAAAGTTTTGATCCGAATAATCAATCATCCTATGCTTTTGATAATCCTCATAGATACCACCAATACTGTCGATATGCCCGAAAGAAAGGAGGAGATTGCCGGTCGTGATTTTTAAAAAATCACTAAAGAAGTTATGGAATGCTAGGTGGACCTGCGAAAAGACTCGTGGAATTCGCCAAGGGGCTAAGTAAACAAAATTAAAAAATTTTTCAATACCTTTTATTTTTTTCAAAATTTTCATATTTACATAATATTTTTTATAAATTTTCATAAGGATTGTAAATATATTTGTTTTTATTTATTTATAATTATTCATTATTATAAAAGAGTAGAATTCTGTGTAAATAAAGAAAATAAAGAAAATAATTTTATATAATTTTATATACAAATAAAAAAAAAATTATACAAATAAAGAAAAAATTATTATTCTTCTGTTTATTGCTTTTTTCATTACTACCATTATTACTAAAGATGTGATTTGTAAATAATTAACTTATTGATTAACAAATCATCTGTCATTACACAGATATATAGTATCTTTGGATATAATTTGGATTATATTAATCTATGAATTGAAATTTTAATTTATGAATTAATTCAAATTATTCTTTCGATTCTCGGATTATTTTTCAATTCTTTTAATCTGTACTCAAAATATTAAAAAATTGATTAATTAATTATTATTTTTACATAGTGAAATCATGCTTTGATTAATTTTTTACATTCCTTTTTTTTTAAACAAAACTAAATGTAATTTTTCTGAGGAACCTTATTACTGGTCAAATAAAAAAAAAAATAGACAAAATTTTTGATGCAAATAGGCAAATAATTAGGAAATTTGAGATAATATGCAAATAGATATTAAAAATTTTATTGATTTTTGATTATTCAACATATATATGTTTTTTATTAAAAAACTTTTTTTTAACAAGGGTATAGTCCAGTGCAAAAAAGATTTATACCTTAAAAAAAAATATTTAATTTTGTCTATATATAAAAGCTTTTGAATTTTAATAATATATTTATAATTTTTTTATGTAATTTTAATCTATATTTTTATATAAGTTTTATTGTTAATTTTATATTTTACATAAAATTTAATAAAACAAAACTTTTTTGAATTTAAAAAAAATAGATTTTGAATATTTTTGCAGTGTTATAAGTTTATATTACAAAAGTACATAACTGTATATCTAATACATAAAACGTTTATTGTATATAATTTATAATTATATCATATAGAAAAAATTTTTTGGAACTGAATAAAGCAGTGATTATAAAAAATATAAATTTTAATTTTTGAAAAATTTTATAATAACAAACCTTTTTGCACTGGACCATAAAAATAATAAATCAAATCTTTACAATTTAATTATAGTAATAAAGAATGAATAAATGAAATAAAAAAAAAGAGAGAAATGAAATTAAAACAAGAGAAGGGAATTAAAGATATGAAATTGAAAAGGAGAAAGGTAAAATTGATACTTTCACAAGAAAAAATGGTGAAATCGATGAATTCATCATTTTCACAAAGAGAAGTGCAATTTCACGAGGAGAGAAGTGAAATATAAAAGAAAAGGAGGTTCTATTTCGATATTGCGAAAATCTCCGGAAATTTTTGCATTTTTTTACGTTTTTTCGACTTCGCTCGCGATTTACGAAGCGCAAAGAGATTTTATACTAAAATATTTCTAAGATAAAGGTCTTGTTCTTGGATACAAAATGGTACGTGTTTCATCCCTGTAGCATCGATATTTGCAGAGTTATTCTAATTTAAAGAAAAACGTCCGTGAAAAATCATGCAAAAATCTCCGGATAAATATTTTCCTGCCTATTTATTCATAAATCATTCCTGTTATACTAAAGATTAGATACTTGACTTCAAAAATTGAATTTGCATATTTACAACCTGTTTTTGTCTATTTACAAATCATTTTTTTAATTATTCTTTAATTACAAATCTTCGTTGCCATACTTATCAAAAAAAAAAAATTACCTGTTTTCATAACCTAATCTATGATTTGTTTTTTTTAAAAAAATCTAATAAATATTTAGGGTTTCATTTTTTTTTTTTAAATCAAATCAAAAAAATTTATATTCATTTTGAATGACACGTATTAAGTAACAGTAGATCATAAATAAATAAATAAATAAGTATTATAAACTAATCAGAAGTTGACACGCATAGCATAAGTATAGCGAATAAGAGCATTCCACATTTGTTGATAAATCAAAATTTTAATAAAAGGCATCCTGGTATAATCGTTCTTGGTTTAACTTGAAAGCCAGTGCTCATAAACGATGAAGTGTGCTCGTATTTTTGCCTTTCTTATTGTATCGGCACTTGCGGCCTGTGTTTGTGGAGAAGAGGAGTTTCCCATCCCGTCTCCTCCTCCTCCTTCGTCTCCTATAGAAGACAGTAGGCCTGAATTTAAGGTAGTGGATCAAATTGATTATATATATATTTTTGTTAGTTTTTTTTTTGTATTTCGTTTCTTGATAAAGGAGTAACCGTTCTTTTTAACTACTTTATTCTCAATTTACAAACTTATACTCTAGCCTACAGAAATAGAGGCACCTTTTCTGGAACAATTCACAGATGATTGGTCAACTCGTTGGTCAGCAAGTGAGGCTACTAAAGTAAATACCGATGGTGGAGAAACATTTAGTTATGTTGGCAAGTGGGAAGTTGAAGAACCAACGGTTTACCGTGGTATAAGGGGTGATAAAGGTTTAGTTGTTAAAACAGCTGCAGCCCATCACGCTATATCGGCTCGTTTAAAAACACCTTTGGATAACACAAACAAGGCATTGGTAGTCCAGTAAGTAAAAAAAGATAAATAAATAATTCGATTCAAACGTCATGAGAAATTTTCATTTATTTATTTATATTATTATTTTTAGATACGAAGTCAAACTTCAAAATGGACTTGAGTGTGGTGGAGCTTATCTAAAACTTTTAACCGAATCTGATAAAGGGATTCAAGCTGTCGAATTTTCGGATAAGACACCTTACACAATTATGTTTGGACCTGATCGATGCGGAAGCACGAATAAAGTTCATTTTATCGTTCGACACAAGAATCCATTGACTGGTGACTACGAAGAAAAACATTTGGATAGTGCTCCTTCAGCAAAAATATCAAAAATCAGTACTTTATATACATTAATCGTGAAGTATGTGTATAAAGAAAACTTTCAATTGTAAATTTATAAAATGTTATTTAAAATGTTATTTAAAATGTTATTTAAAATGTTATTTTTTTCAGTCCTGACAACACATTCGAAATTAAAATTAATAACGAAACAACAAAGTCTGGTAATTTACTCAATGACATTGAATTTAAACCACCTTTCAATCCTCCAAAAGAAATCGATGATCCCAATGGTATATATATATATATTATATTTTCTTATCGTGATTAATATGACAAATATAATCTCATTATTACTTAAATATTTTAGATTCAAAGCCAACAGATTGGGTTGATAATCCAAAGATTCCTGATCCAGGTACTTTTTTGAAATATAATTCTAGTCAAATTTATTTTTGTATTATTTATTTTTCTAATAAAATTATTTATTTTTATTCAATAAAAAGCTGCCAAAAAGCCCGATGATTGGTAAGTTTATAATAAACATTTCCACATATATATATTTTTTTCATCATACATTATTTATTTACGATAAAAACTTTAATTTGTTAGGGATGAGGATGCACCAGTAGAAATTTTGGATGAAGAAGCTCAAAAACCGGAAGGATGGCTTGATGATGAACCCTTGAATGTTCCTGATCCAGAGGCAAAAAAACCCGAAGATTGGGATGATGAGGAGGACGGTGATTGGGTTCCACCAAGTATTTCTAATCCAAAATGTGAAGATGCACCTGGATGTGGTGAATGGAAACGTCCCATGAAACGAAATCCTAACTATAAGGGAAAATGGTATCCAACGGAAATAGATAATCCAGAATATAAAGGTCCATGGAAACCAAGAAAGATTCCTAACCCTGATTTCTATGAAGATTTGACGCCTTCCAATTTTGAAAAAATTGTATGCGATTTTTTATTTTTTATTTTGTATTTTACATATTTTTTTTTATGGAATCTGAACTTTATTAATGTATTTAATATATTTTTAGGGTGCTGTTGGATTTGAACTTTGGACCATGCAAAGCGATATATTATTTGATAATATATATATCGGTCATTCTGTGGAAGATGCTCAAAAGTTTGCAGAAGAAACTTGGAAGGTTAAAAAGAAGATTGAAGAAGAATCAGAAAAGAAGGAACAACCAATTCCAGAAGATAAAGATGTAAGTTTTATTTATCAAAATTTTTAGATAATTACACAAATACTTTTATTAATACCTTTATTAATACTTTTTATTTATACTCTTATTTCTATTTTAGACTCCTATTTCATTATGGGAAGATCCTGTTAAGTTCCTCCAACAACATATTAACGAATTTCTTGCTATTTTCTTTGAAGATCCTTTGGAAGCAATTAAGACAAAACCAGAAGTGGCAGGTGGTTTAGCAACTGTGGCAATAATTTTCTTTTCACTTCTTGGATTACTGTTTGGATTAATAGCTCCCTCGAAAAAGGTATAATAAATAATAATTTTAAATAACATTTATTTTTAAAATTAGCACAAAAAGTTTACATAATTTCATTCCAATCAACATTAGGTTTCCGCATCACATAAAAAAACTGATGCTCGAACACCTGATGATAAAGGTGCCGATAAGGGTACATCTGTGAAGAAGGATGATGGTAGCGAAGGTGATAATGAATTAGAACCAAATCCAGTTACCAACCGAGGGAAAAAACAAAGAAGAGACGATTAAATATTGCATTTTCTACAATCTCCGGTCCTTTTCATTGGAAAAATTTTTAATAGGTCTTAAATTAATCATAATATTATTTTAAAAATGGACATTCTTCATTTCTCATTGAAAATTCCGGATATATTTGCATTTCCGGAATAAAAAGTATTACCAATATTACCTTTAGGCGCATAAAGAGTAGAGTTAATAATCCACAAAAAAAAATAAAAAAAAATAAATAAAAATTCTTTATTAATTAAACCTTAATTTGATATTGTAATTCGATATTTGTATGTAAAGATTGATAATAATTAAATTTTGTAATAAATATTTTTAATTTTTCATAATTACCATACAACATATATATATATATAATATAATTTGGAATAGATTAAAAATTATAATTTTATAATTTTGAATCTTTTTTGTGTGAACTTTCTTTCCACAAAGCTCTCATTTTATCACATAATTTCTCATCAACAAAAAGATCAGCCTGCAAATCTATATTACCAGGGATTACAGAATAATGGTCAAATTTGGTTTGACCATTCTCTCTTAATATCACTTCATCAATTACAAAATTACCACTAATTTGTAGACAATAATAATCATAATAATAGTAAGTATCATAAAAAATATTAAATAAATCTTATAAATCTTACAAAATTTTTTTTTTTTTTACCTGAATTCTTTGGAATTTTTATTAAGAATCAGATATGCAGCGTCGGCCATTATTTCTGGAGTTCTCGATTTTGCATCCATAAATTGGCCTAAATATATAATATATATATATATTATGTGAATATATGAATATATGTATATTTGAAACATTAATAAATTCATTCATAGTTTCACCTTTACCTAAAACTTGCAAAGCTGCAGTGCTGATTACTGTTAGGGGCCAAAGAGCTAAGTGAAATTTAATAAATTAATATATTGTTCTCCCACAAAAAAAAATAAATATTAAATAATAAAATAAATAAATAAATACCATTCGCAGCAATACCATATTCCTTAAATTCCCCATCCCAGCCCTATTATTATTTGTCACACAAATACAAATTGGATTATTAACAGTTCATGAAGGAAACATTCGTTGAATATGAAAAAAAAAGTAATTACAAAAATTAACAAAGACATATTATATTTTGCAATTGAATATGCCACATGATTAGAAAACCAATGTTTTTGAAAATCAAGTGGTGGACTAATATTTAAAATATGAGGATTTCTATTTTTTTTACCACTCTCGATGAGATATGGAATGGCGTACTTTTTTTGTTTAAATAAAATAAAATAAAAATTTTTTAGTTGAAATAAAAAATAATAATATAAAAAAAAAAAAAATGAATTTATTGAAATGAAAATATGATACCTTTGTCACCAACCATGTGCCACGTGAGTTAATTTCATGCATAAGAGTATATTTTTTGAAAGTAGTCTCTTGTGTATCTGTCGGAGATATCGCGGAAGCTAAAAGAATATATAATAGCATATAATAGAATATAGAATGACACGTAAAAATATATAAATAAAGTCTTCAATTTAATAAGATAAAAATTTTATACCATTGTTGACAACTATGTCAATTCCACCAAACGTATTTACAACTTTTTGTATAGCATTTTTGACAGCCTCTTCATCACGAATGTCACATTTCAATGGTAGAGCTATATATATTTATATATATATATTTTTCGTTATAATCATATATTATATATTATTCTAATATATAATCAAGAATTTTAAGAATTTTTTTTTTGCATACCCTTCCCACCGATGCGTTCAATTTCCTGCGCTGCGGTGTAAATTGTCCCAGGAAGCTAAGAATCAACAAAAAGAATTATTTAATTAAAAAAAAAAATGATAATTACTCGAATGCAAAAATAAATTCATTACTTTACTTTGGGATTTGGTGTATCAGTTTTTGCAAGAACTGCGATACATCTTGAATTGACCAAAAATTCATAAAAATTAAAAATTCATAATTAAATTTGATAAATATGAATTAAATTAAATTTACCCTCCATCTTTTGCGGCTCTCAGTGCTATTGCAAGACCAATACCACTATTTCATGAAGTAAATAATTAATTAAATTATTATTATTATTAATATATAATTTAAATAAGATTCATCCATTTTTAATTTTAATTATAAAATTGGCTTTACCGCGAAGCACCACTAATAACCAAAACTTTATTTTTGAGTGTCATGATCGTTTAGAAAAAACGATCCAAGTCCCAAATTTTGGTGCTATAAATATTTATAAGATAATGTCAATCCTTAGAAAATCCAGTAACTTCAATTTCAGTAGTGCAGCGTTACATTTTATCAATGAAGTAATATGTGTAACAAATTAACAAAACTTTAAATTTTTACACACATATATAGTAATTAGTTTCTCTATTACTACTGAAAATGTCTACCGTTCTTCAATCAGCTTCATCTGCAATAACACCTTTTTTTACTTCTTTGGCATCCGGAGATGAATCTTCGAACTCGGCCTCTTTAACAGCGGGAAATACTATTAAACCTGTATTTGTAAATGAATCTTGTTTGGAATTTCTTCTTATGGAAATGGTAGATCTTATGTTTCGCTCCACAGCAGATTCAGAAAATGATAAAGAAGCTGTATTTTATAAATTGGAAATGTTGGGTTATCAAGTTGGTCAAAGTTTAGTTGAAAGGTATGAATATTGTTTTCAATTCTATCTTATCTGTTAAAATATCTTTAAATAAATTAAAAGTATATATAAAAATTATAAACTATATATATATAAATTATATATAAATTATATATAAATATTTAAAATATTTATAGATTTACAAGAGAACGGCCACGTTTTGTTGATACATTGGATGTGGTTAAATTTATTTGCAAAGAACTTTGGTCGATAATTTTTAAAAAACAAATCGACAATCTGAAGACCAATCATAGAGTAATTATTATCAATTTATTTTTTGATATAAAATTTTTACAATTTTTAAATTGGACACTTTTATAGGGTGTATATGTATTACAAGACAATAATTTTAGATGGTTTGTAAGAATGTCAACTGAAGCTGGTGGTGCTGATGCTGCAAAGAGAGCTGTTCCTGTAAATATTTAATTTTTCATTTTTTTCATTATAATCATTTCATCTTCATTTCATCTTCATTTTATAATTATTTCATCTTCATTTTTCAACCTTATGTTACATCATACAAAAGAATTTTAACCAATTATTTATTTATTTAGTATCTTTGGTTTCCGTGTGGATTAATTAGAGGAGCATTGGCTAATTTGGGAGTTATTAGTGTAGTGGTTGCTGAAACCAATAGTTTACCACAATGCGAGTGTTTATATATATATATATATTTTTTATTTATTTTTTATTTATTTTTATTTATTTATTTTTTATTTTTATTATTATTTTCATAACAGGTACATTCCAAATCAAGATTGCGAAATCATAGATAAGTAATAACAAAATTTCTAATTGTGTAATTTTTTTTTTTATTAATTAATTCTCAACAACATTAACGATATCTGATATTTGATAATTGAAAGTTGTAAATCAATGTATTATAGATAAAAAGTCCAATTTTTTCATCTTTCTACCCAATTTATTATTTTAAATTTGACAAATCCGGGTTCTTTAAGTCTTCGTAAACTATATAATAGAATTTTATTATTATGATTATTTTTTTATTTATTTTTAATGAGAAAAAAAAAATATCATTTTTTTTTTTTTAATGATTGTTATAAAAAAAAGAATTAATGCGAAGATTAGAAAGATGACATAAAAGCGATACATTATTTTATATAGAAAGTGATAATTGATCCCAGTTATTAATTATAATTTCGACTAATTTCTAAGACTAATTTCTAAAAAATTTCTAATAATGACAACAATAATGACAGACAGATAAAAGTTTAGCAAAAAAAAAAAAAAATTTTTTTTAATTAGGAAATAAAAATAGCTTTAATATACTTACCTTTGGAAAACATTATAAACATTATGCTTCGAATAGAATATTTTTTTATGCAGTCTTCTTTGATTTCTGATTCGTTTTGTTAAGAAGTGTTTTGTGAATGTGCTAAAGGAAAAAGAGAAATTTATATATGAGGTAAGAAAATTACTCAAAATTATATATTTCAAGTATATATTTCAAATGAACAAATCAATTTATCAAAAAAAAAATATATATATATATATTTACTGGTAAAACACCACCACCAGCAATTGTAGCTCGAATTAGCGTGTCTAGTTCTTCATCACCACGGATAGCTAATTGTAGATGGCGTGGCGTAATGCGTTTGACTTTTAAATCTTTAGAAGCATTTCCTGCTAACTCGAGAACTTCTGCTGTAAGATATTCTAGAATAGCGGCTGAATAAACAGCTGCTTTAGCTCCAACACGTGCATTATTCAGAGTTCGTTTTTTTAGATATCTATGGATACGACCAACTGGAAACTGTACATATTATATATATATATATATATATATATATAATAAATAGTAATTATAAATATAAATTATGAATTTTTTTTTGTTACATTTTATAAATGGAAATGGAATAAAGATCACATCAAAGTATTCGAAAATTTGTCGCTTGGCCGCAGTATGAAATTTTATAATAAAGAATAAAGGTCATAAAAGGTTCTCGATTTTTATTATATGACAAATTTTTCGTATCACATTATATACGTAACTAACAATATGTAAAAAATGACACGAGAGATGATAAAAATAAGAAGTAAAATAATGACTTTACTTGTAAACCAGCTCTTTGTGATCTAGACACGACGGGAGGTCTTTCCTTTTCTTGAGTCTTTTGGTGATTATTTTGGTTATCCGCAGTACCGTTTTCTTGTGTGATAACTTGTTTTCCAGTAGCCTATTATCATTTTAAAAGGTAATATAATTTAAAATAATAAAATTAAAATAAAGCAATTGATTAGTAATGTTCTTTATAGTTGTTTACTTTTTGGCGGGAACATAAAACGCGACATAAGAATAAAGATGGAAGACATAAAGCATTAATGAATATAAAGAGATTGAAGTAAAATGACGTGATATTTTAAAAATTAAATGATAAAAATTTATAGAGGAAAAGTTTTAAAGAGAAATATATGAGGTTGATAATATATCGACATTCTCGAAAAAAGACTTGCCCACGTGACTATCGCAAAATTTGCAAGAAGTGTTGTGGTAAAAACGTACCATATTCAAAAGTAAAATATAAACAATATAAACTTAATATTTGAAGAACTAAAGGTAAAAATAATAATGATTTTTATTTTCTTTTAAAAAATCAACCGATGATGAGTCAAGAAGAAAACCGCGGAAATAAGGCCAACGATTTTTTTTTTTTACAAGGGATGTTAGACTGGGTAAAGGAAAGGGAGAGTTGGCAAATTTACAAATTTAAGAAGTTTGAGTGGATTGAGTTGATTTTATGCTGATCAGACATTGCTCCATGCAGATTTGTCAATTTTAAATTTGGGATGTGTTGACGTATTAGATCTTAATGATCTTATATTTATTATATTATATTTTATTATATTTATTATATTATATATTATATTTATATTTATATGAAATAAATAAATTCATATATAAAATTACACAAGGACTACAATAAAGTATTTTTGTCAAATAAAATAATAAGGGACGAGATTAGTTTTATTGGTAAGTTATAGGGAGGGAACATATCTTTACAAGGATTAATGTTGGAATTATTTTCATTAAATTATGAAATATTACGAATAGATTTTCGGGAAAAGTTCAAAAATAAATTCTTTTTTAATTCTTTTTTCAGTAAAAGAAGAGAATTCGTTAAAGATATTCTTTTATGAAATCTTTTGAAATCATATTTTTATATAATTAATTTCGGTTTATTTCGTTTATTTCGTTTATTTCGTTTCCTTTGTTTCCTTTGATCAACTCAAATACTATAAAATGATAAAATGATAAAATAATAATAATAATTATTATTATTATTATTATATATTATGATAATAACATTAATAATACATACTAATAATACTAATTATAATATAAAGTAAATCGTTACTAAACTTTTAACAATATCCAATCAAAATGAATTAAAATAAAAAGACAATTCCATAATTTTCGATTACACACATAAAGATGGAAATTCGACATCAAGGGATTTTTTCATCTGATCTCTACTATTAGTCAAATTCATGTTTCTTGATCCAAAAAAAATATCACAAGATTCTTGAGCTCCGCATGTAGAGTATATTTTTGGAATGTCTTAGTACCCATTACTTGTTGACTTTTTACTGGATGTCAATTTAGTGGGTTGGGGATTCCAAAACTTAAAATTCAAAAAAGATATACTAAAGACCGAGAAAATACTGAAATAATTTTTTTTTTTTTTGTTCAATAAAAAAAAATTCAGTTGTTATTATTATAAATAAATGTTTGCTATTTATTTTATTTTATTTTTTTGTTACTTGGGAAAAATAAGGGGATTATCTTTGAATTACTAAAATAAATAAATTATAATGTTACAAACGCTGTAACGAGATAATTTTGATAACTTTTGGTAGCACGAAGTTCAGATTTAGGATGATAATACAAAAAAAATTGTGTTAGATTTCTCCTTGCTTAATTTATTTAATATGTCTACTCCTTCTTCACCAACAAGACCACGTCGTAGGAATTCTCTAATTGGACAATGGGATAAAACAACAAAAGTTATTGATGTTAAAAATAAATATTATTCAATTTCAACCGACAAATATACTGCAGCTCAAAAGGAAACTTTTACAAAATGGGTTAATATTCAATTACGTACCATTCACGTAGATGACGAAACTTCTAAAAAAATTCCTGAAATCAAAGCTGTTGACCGTGATTTTAGGGATGGAAAAAGATTAATTCAATTACTTGATGTTCTATTCGAAGGTGATCCTGATTTACCAAAACCTGAACGTGGAAGAACTAGGCATCATTATATAGCAAATGTTAACAAAGTTTTACAATTTTTACAAACAAGGCTTGATGAATCAGGTTTAGCTGCTTTACAAGCAATTGGACCTGTAGATATTGTGGATGGAAATGTTAAATTAACTTTAGGTTTAGTTTATCTATTGATTTCAAAATTTCATCATATGATGAGTGTCTTTGAAGAATTTGGAGAGGGAAATGATAATGATTTGACAAATCTTAATAAATTTACTACTAATGGTTGGTTTGATAACCTCGAAAAGTCAATGAATGTTTCCTCATCACCAACACAATCACCAACACTATCACCAATTTCACCACAATTCCCAGTTTATGAATCAACATTACCAACCTTAAAAGATGAAAATGAGATATTAATAGAAAATCAACAAATTTCAGAAGGAGAAAATATTAAAATTATAAATTCAGATACAGTCAAGTCAAATGAATCAATCAAATCAAACAAATTAAACGATTCAGTCAATGAACCCTTAAATTTAAATGATTCACAAAAATCGGTTGCAAATAAACGATTATCACTTCCTCCAGGTAGCTTTTCGAGTAATAACAAAAAGTCGATACCACCACCTACTAGATTTAGAACTCTTAAATTAAATCATTCTACTCCTTTAAGTTCTTCATCTGGTATTTTATTTTGGATAAATATGCAACTTATTGATTATGCTGTAATTTTACCTTCCACTTCATATCCTGTGGAAGATTTTACCGGAATGAATAATGGAATTATATTGACTGCATTAATACATCATAAGAATATGGAATGGCTTGAAGATTTTGATCTTTTAATTCAACAAACTGATGATGAAATTGAAGAAGAAAAAAAATCTAAAGAAAGGTTATCAAAATGTTTTACCATTTTGGAAGATAAATTAGGTATTCAACGTCCAAACTCGTTAGTAAAGATGTTAATTGAAAGTGATCACAATGATGCTCAACAACTTAAAAGGACAGGTTTGGCATGGAGTGTATATATGTCCGACCTATTTTTAGTAATGTCAGAAAAACCCAAGAGAAATGGAACTTTAAGAGGTACAAGGAGAGATACAATGAAAGGTACAATGAAAGGTACAAAGCGATTAGTACAAATTAATGAACCAGTCACCGAGGTCAATGATTCAGAAATTTTTGAAAATGAAATTGATCAATCAAGTAATGATGATGATAAATCTGATAAATTGAAAAATAAAAAGAAATCGAATAATAAATCACGTGGATGCTTACCAATATATTCCACGGGACCAATATTACCTATGCCACCTTGGTCTCCAAAAGCATCAATACTTTCTGCCATATTCGATTGGACTATTGGCTGGTAAAAAAAAAAAATTTTTATTTTTATTTTTATAAGATAATAATTAATATAATTAGTTTAATAAGATAATTAATTAATTTAATTTAATTTAATTTTTATTAATATTGATGTTTCTTGTACATCTAATTTATAATAGGTTATTAAGTGAACACGATGAAAGTGATGATGATGAAAGTGATTACTACGAAGATGGTCAATTATGTGAACGTGAAGTGAAAGTGAAAACTATACGCGTTGGAAAAAAGAGATCTGATGGAAGTTGGAATATTCATGATGCTAATGAATGGAGATTAAGTAATGAATGTTTAAGTGACAATGAAGACGTTCCTATTCAATTATTGTTAAATCAACCATCTCTTAAGTATTGGAGATAATTTAATTGAATTTATTTGAATTACTTTTTTACTTAATTTATTGTACAGAATTTTTCATTTTATCTATCTTATTTAGCCCATTTAGTTCATTTTTTTTAATCATTTAGTCCATTTAGCTCATTTTTTAAGCATTTAGCTCATTTAGCTCATTTTTAAGCATTTAGCTCATTTTAAGCATTTATCTTATTTATGTAAGTTTTTTAAACATTTACAAGATTACTATCATTATTACTTATTTTTATTACCTTTTTTATTATTATTATTTTTTATTACTATATATTTTATTACTTATTTTTATTAAATCATTACATTTTTATATGTATTTATTAATTCTTATTATTTCTTATTATTGTAATTAAAGCTGTATATTATATACTGAAGCTCTTACAATGTTAGGTACTTTTATTAATTGCTGAACATAAAAGACAATTTGGTATATTTAATAAAAAAGTAAATATGTATGATATGTATTGATTTTAAATTGTATTCTTTTACTTTAATAATAATTGAATAAAATTTTTTTTTTTTTTTGCAAATGTAAGATTGTAATGGGAATATAAATTTTATTAACACACCAATTTAAAGATGTCAAAAAAAAAAAATTCTAAAGAAATTCAATTTTCAATTAGTCTATATATATATGTATCTTTTTATTTTATTTTATTTTTTTTTTTTAATATCTATAATTAAATTATTTAACTGAATAAAAAAAAATGAATTCAAAATAAAATAATGAATCAACTTTTTTCTTCGGGAACGTAAAGATCAAGCATTTGACGTTTTCTTCTTTGTATTAAATATTCTTCTACTTCTTTTTGAGATGGCACAGCGACATGTGCCACATATTTTTCTGATAATAAATCAATGTCTGTTATATCTCTTTCTAATTGTGATGCCCCTTCTTTCTTTTTTTGTATTGACTTATCCGTTGGCAATACTTTGTCTGGTAATTTTGATATTTCTTCGATAACTAAAGATATATAAATATATGATAAAAGATTAGATTTATTGAAATGTCCAATCAATATATATACATATATATTAAAATGATGTGTCTAATATTTACGTCCGCGTTCTACTTCAGCTTCACTTTCAAATAAAAGTCCATCTTCTTCATCTCGATATCCATAATAATCTGCATCTACATTTTTGTATAACTCAAATCTTGTACGTTTTGTTGGTTCAGGTGCTTATAAAATTGATAAAATGATAAAATTTATTAATAAAATATATATATATATATATTTGAATTCTTTCTCAAAAATAATTATAATATTATATACCTTCTGATTCAAATAATTCTCTTACACCAGGTAAGTCTTTAGCGCGTCCAAAATATCTAAAAAAAATTTTTATGAATTTAAAATATTTTATTAAAATAAATAAATAAATAAATATAAATATTTTGAAATATCAATTACTTGTAACCACGATTTCCGGGAACTGCTTTGCCTTCATGATCCAACATTTTAGGTCCAATTCTCTATCATTAATTTAACCCCCCCCAAAAAAATCAATCAAATAAATTTTTTCATAATTAAATTTATCAAAAAAAAAAAAGAAGAAATTCCTACTCTAAAGTCTGGACCACCAAGTTTCTTTATTTGATCTTCCCAATGTCCCTTTTCTCTCATTAATTTATTAATCTCATCATTTAAATCTCTAATCTGATAATCCGAAAGACCAGCTATTTTTGATTATTATAAATTAATACAAGTATTTTATACAAATAAAATAAAAAATAAATTTGATTCTTCTACTTACCGTCTTGAATTTTGGAAACTTTTCGTGAGATTTCTCTGATTATTTGTTGACGCCACTTTTCTGCGTCCTTTAAATCATTACAATCTGATGCCAAATATGGTCTACGTTCTTTTGGCTTCACTAAACCGAGTTGAACGGCTTGAGCCTCACGAAAACGGTAAAGCATAGATCTTTAAAAAAAATAGGTTAGTCATTAAAAAATTAAAGTTTATAGATACTAAATATAATGAAAATACTTACTGGGCTTTCTCTTCATTGCGGGCCTAGATAAAACCGATAAATCCACTATTATTATTAGAATAAAGTGGGATTACAAATTAAGAATTAAAATTTGAATCGAATGTTTATCAAGTTTCGACTCACCATTTTTTAAAAAATAAAAAAAAATGAAACTGAAACACGCGATCTAACTAATTTTACTACCGGATGAAAATCTTGGAAATCATGCAATCTAAAATTTGCCTAATTAGGACGCGGTATTATAAATTTTTTCAAACTCATAATTATTACCGTTTAACTCTTCTAAAAAATCTCTTTCATAATCATTCCTTTACTTTCTTTATTTCCCTTTGATTTTAACTTCTTTTCTCAAAAATTATTACAATTTTAATTATGAAGCTACCACAATTTAACATACTTTTTCTATTAGCACCATCTATATTATTGTTTTCAACGTGTCAGTTTTTCAATTGCATGGCAGCTTCTCAAAAACGATCCGAGTTTATGGAAACTTTGCTGGACAAATCTTCTGAACTAAATTATTGTTCTGTATGCAATTTCTTTAATTTTTTAAAAATACCAAAGAAATGCAATTATATTAAGATATTTTGTTGATTTATTTAATTATAGCCCTCAGGGATTATAAACGACGCATGTTGTGATTACGAGACTGTAGAAAAAACAAATGATATTATTTCATCACGAATATCCGAATTGGTGGCGACCGATTTTTTCAAATATTATAAGGTAAGGTAGAATTACGTTTTCATAATTTTTTATCTTAAAAAAATTTAAATCAAATAACATTAATAACAATTTTTTCATGACAATAGCTTAATCTTTATAAAGAATGTCCATTTTGGACGGAATATGGTCAATGTAATAATCGTGCATGCGCCGTAGAAACAATCGATGAGGTAAAGTGCGCAAAGTATTTTTATCTGTAAACAAAAATTTTGTCAAGTCGTTAAATTAATTCTAAAATACAATTGTTATTAGACTCATCTTCCAGAATCATGGCGTAGTATCGTTCTTGGTGCCATACAAACATCCTCGGCTGGACCGGTAAGTTTCATTCGAATTCATTTCAATTTATAATATTTACAGAGAAACTTTGACTCGATTAATTAACTTTTTTTACATTTTATTTTCACATTAATTTTTCAGCAATTTCAACCTTATAAAAAGTGTGAATATAGAGATCAAGATTTTTGTGTTGTGGAAGATGAGGCTGATATTGGTAGGTTACATTTAATAAGTTATATTGCGATTGTTTTTATTGGTATTTTTTTTTTTTAATATTGAAATCATTTATTATATTATTATTGAAGAGGGTGTCTATGTTAACCTTCTCGATAATCCCGAAAGGTTTACAGGCTATGCTGGAGAGTCAGCTAGTCGTGTTTGGGAAGCTATCTACGGAGAAAATTGTTTTAACCTTGTTCATGACACGGATTTATCTAAAATTTCTCTCAATCCGGCAATCAATCGTCAACAATTAGGTAGTCCTTCTAAAGTGAAAGCAAAGAAAGTGGATAGTGATGTTTGTTTTGAAAAAAGAGTTTACTATAGATTAATATCAGGTGAATTTTTTATTTATTTATTTTGTTATTTTTAGAAATTGTTTTTTATTAACATATTTTATATATTATTTTTTTATATTTTTTTTAATATTATTTTTTTTTATATTATTCATTATATTATTTATTAAGGTTTGCATTCATCAATATCCATTCATATTTGTGACGAATATTTAAATCAAACTACTGGTCAATGGGTAAATGTTTAATTTTTTTATTTGTAATTTAAAATATTCATTTCCTACAATAATATAAATAAAATATTGAGTTCAATTTTATCCAAATTTATAATTTTTTCAAATAATTTAAATAATTTAGGGACCTAATCTTGATTGTTTTATTTCAAGATTTAGCAATCATCCGGAACGTATTGAAAATGCATATTTCACTTATGTCGTTCTATTGAGAGCTATTTCAAAAATGTCCGAATACCTTAAGGTTTATGAATTCTGTACTGGTGATAAAGAACAAGATGTCCAAGTGAAAAGAATGGTCAGTGAACTTGTAAATACTGCTGATTCATGTCCCGGAACATTTGATGAAAAACAAATGTTTGCATCACCAAAATCCAGAGTATGTATTTTAACAATTTTTAGTCGCTTATTTCTTGTATTGAATTATATTGACACTCTCTTACAAAAAAAAATAATAATATATTATCTATTTGGTAAATAAAAAAAATTTTGGGGGGGAATAGTTATTGAAGGAAGAATTTAAACTACATTTCAGAAATGTCTCCCGAATTATGGATTGTGTTGGATGTGATAAATGTCGTTTATGGGGGAAACTACAGATATCTGGATTGGGGACAGCTTTGAAAGTTCTCTTCTCATATGATGATGAATATTTCAAGTAAGTTAAATGTAAACAATTATTCACATATTATTTTAGATTTTTTTTAAAAAATTTATTCATAAATATATATTTATTATAGTCCAAAAGTACATCCTAATTTATTGACGCGAACAGAAATTGTTGCGTTATTTAACGCATTTAATCGATTATCGGAGAGTCTTAAAGCAATTGAACGGTTCAGAATGATGTATCAACAAAGAATTAATGATCTCAATGATGGAGAATCACCAGTGCCGGTTAATACGGTAAGTTTATATTTTCCTTCGCTAATATTTGTTTATTCGCATAAAATAGATAATGATATATATATTTCATTCATTCTTTCTTTCTTTATTTCTTCTTTATTTATTTATTTATTTATTTATTTATTTTGTTTTAGAATAATGAAACTCCTCCGATTGTGGTTATTGGAACTCAAAACATTACAAATATACATTTTCCAGAAATAGATTTTTTTATAAATCTATTAACTTCAATTAAAGAAATCATTTCATCATATGTTATAAAATTTTATCAGTTATTTGTACAATTATTGGAGCATTGGCACATTCCAGTGCCCGTCGCATTGAAATTAATTATCAAAGATTAATTTCCCAACTTTTCACATAGATATTATTTATTTATTAAACCCCCCCGAAATAATCTTGTATATACATATTTAGTAATGGCATTAACCATAAAAAATTAGTTTGCTAAGAAAGAAAGAGATTCAAAAATAAATGTTAAATAGAAAATGTGTAGATATCACATTTTTACCAAGTCACATTTCTTAATAAATATAATGATTGTAAAAAAAATTAGATTCTTTGATAAGAATAATAAGAATACTGGTTGTATTCTTTTACATAATAATAGTTGAAAATCGGATTTTGTGATACCTCAACTTTTTTTTGAGTTTCACTAAATTGAACATAATGATAATCTAATTTTATTTGTGTACCCATAATATCTATACCGCATTTAATAATATTAAAATGAACCAACATGATGTGATATCAAAGGGCAAATAAAATTAATGGGAACACGTTTATCATATCTATCATAGAAAGTAAATTTTCAAAAACGAAATTTATACTGCATTTTCTTTCAGCTAGAACAATTGTATTTTTTTTATTCTGCAATTTTGATTGATTGGGTCCTTATTAATCGTTCGAAGCAATTGTTGCTTTAGTAGGTAAACCAAAATTTTAATAAATTAAAAATGTAGCGTAGACAAAGACACATGATTATTGGTCTTTATTCTTTAATGGTATTAATGGTTCATTTACTTTGCATGTGGGTAACTCAAATGATTTATTTAATCTAAAACTAAAATTTTTAATCTAAAACTATTATTTTATTTATTAATCTAAAAACTAATTTATTTTATTCTAATCTTGCCGGTGGTCATTTTTTAATATTAATCTTTATCCGAAAATAGAAACAAGTTAATAAAAAAATGGGTTCCATCACCTTTGATTGTTAATACTTTTTCCGAGCATTGACGTAAATCCCCAAATTTATTTTAAAACAAGTTTTCAAAATATTTTAGTACCCTTTACGGTGGTTCGGTTGTCTTTCAGAGGGAAACAAGTTTTTTGTCGAAGTTCTCCTTTCTCGCCTCATCTAGAATAATACCGCCGTTTTTTTATATTATCTATATTTTATTATTCTATTATTTTAATAAAAAAAAAAACTTCTTTTTTTATACTTATATGTTTATGGACTTATTTCTTATAGACAAGCACAAGAACCATATATATCAATCTTAATAATATATATTATTCGCTTCGTTTTTTTTATTTTAAATAATAAAAAAATTCTTTCTCGCTTTTTTTTTTTTCTACCAAATATTCGGCATCTTGGCAAATCTCGTTTTATTTAATATTTAAATTATAATTATTTTCGACGACATAAAAACAAATTGGCAAAAAATTCGATTAAATATCAAGGACGCTGAGCGACTCCTAGTTTTTTTTTTTTTCATAATTTACTTTTTTCATCTTTGACAAATTTTAAACTTCAACCATTATTTTGCTATTAAAATAAGAATACATCTAGTAGCAAAATAGAACTTCCTAGTGAAAATAGTATTTCGTTTGTTCAATCAGATTTCCTTGTATATTTCTTTTTATAAAATTCACCTTTTAGTGCACTCAAGTTCGAAAACTTGAGCACAATCCTAAAAAAAAAAAAAAATAACAAAAAAAAATTTTTTTTAACCATATAATATAAATATATAAATTCAATTGGAATTTGTAAGTATTTAAGAAAAGAAGTAGTTTAATTTTTGATAATCTATTTTTTTTTTTTTTGTCTATTATAAATTTTATATATGTCATTCGCTTATATATATATATATATATATATTTAGAAAACTCGTTTAAAAATGGCAGAAACTCTTCATATGAACCCCCAATCACAACATTTGTATGAAAAACCTAGTGGTTTCGTTGAATTAGACGTCAAAATGATGAAGGGTCAATTTGATGTTTCAACCATGGCACTTATTGATAAAAAAAATGAGGCAGATGTTAAAAACAAAAATAATGAAGCTGGTCTTCTGGATCCATGGAATTCTAGTAATGTTAAGGATCAGGAAGACTTTGCGAAATCCTTGAAATTTGATAAAAACAATAATTTGGATAACAATGAAAACAAAGATTCTACCAAAAATAAAATTGAAGACATGTACGATTCACAAACTTCCGACCTATTGTTTCTTGATCCACTTGGGGATGAAACATTAATTATTAATAGTACAACTTTGTCGGAAGAGGAAAAAAAAGCAAACATAAACAATATATTCTCACGAGCCGCAAGTAATGGAAATATAGAAAAAGTTAATAAAATGTTAGAAACCTCAAGAGAATATATTGATATTGATGCCCAAGATGATGAAGGTACCACTCCTTTAATATATGCAGCATGTTTTGGACATGAAAATGTTGCATATGCATTGTTAGAAGCTGGTGCAAAAGTAGATGTACAAGATAGCAGTAAGTATATTTTCTATGAAGTGATTTTTTTTTTTTCTTTCTAAAATTTTCTTCTTTAATCTTAGTTGGTTGGACCCCATTAATGTGGGCAACAAACAATAATCATGATTCGACCGTTAGATTATTTTTGGATAATGGCGCTGATGCTGGTACCAAATCAGCAAAAGGTAGAACAGTATTTGATTTTATTCCACCAGAAAATCCCAAAATTGCCGAAATTTTCATACAGAATCCTCAGCGTGACAGTTGGTCAAGCGTTGGTAGTATTGGACGTTGGTCACTTTGTAGCGAAGCAGAAACCAGGTTAGTAGAAAAACTAGCAGAAGCCGAAATGGAAAAAAGGATGTTGGCAGAAAGTGCCATAAATTTAGATGTTGATTTAACAAGTTTGGGATTTGAAGAACCACAAGTATGTAAAATATTTACATTATTATGTAAATTATATGCAAATTATATGTAAATTATATGTAAATTATATATGTAAATTATATGTAAATTATATATGTAAATTATATTTGTAAATTATATATACATTATTTATATTTATAATTACTAAAAAATATTATTTAATACACACAAAAATAGGAAGAAGATGAGGAGGAGGGACCAGCAGAATTTTTATGGACTACTTGTTTACCTGATCAAATGTTTGTATTTTCACATGAAGACATACATCACATTCTTCAAACCGTTGTTATCAATATGCAGCCAATTCGAAACAAAACACAAAAACCCGTACCAGCAAATGTATTATTCTTGAGTGCAAGATTTGCTCATTATTTTAGTAGTCCTGAATTATTGGAATCACTTCTATTTGAGGTGATCTTTGCTATAGATCAAGCAGTTAAAGTATGAAATCCATTTTATTATATTATTTTAATTATTTTATCTTATTTATTTTGTTCAATTTATATATATATATAAATTTACTCATATAAATAAATATTAAATTAAAATATTAAATTAAAATATTAAATTAAATATTTTTACATTTTTTTAGACTAGACCCGATGATATGACTCTTTTGTCATTTTGGATTTCAAATTGTACATTATTATTGTACTATTTAAAAAAAGATACAGGATTAGCTGCCGCTACAGTGGAATATCAATTAAGGATCTCAGAACAACTCCATGAAATATATGTGCTTTTAGTAAAAGATGCACAAAAAAGAATTGAAAGAGTGTTGGAAGCTGCAATGTTGGAATTTGATACTATTCCTGGAATGGATGATGTTCGATTTGAAGGAGAATGGAGTGTTTTTAGATCTTTCACCAGAAGATCAAGAAGTCCACAATCAACATATAGTTCATCATCGAAACGTTCATCTGATATTAGTTTAAGAAGACATTCATCACTTCGTACATCTTCATCTCCTCGACAAAGAGGTGTCCCTTCACCTCGGAATATTACATCATTATTATCTTCAACATTATTTATTCTTCAAACTTATGAAGTTCATCCAATGATCGTAGAACAAGTTCTCAATCAATTATTCTATTATATGTCATGTGAACTCTTTAACAAGATCCTCTCTCGCAAGAAATACATGTGTCGGTCTAAAGCAATGCAAATACGTCTTAATGTTTCTGCTATTGAAGATTGGGTCCGCACGAACAATCTATCCTTAAATTTGATAACACACTTTCAACCTTTAATTCAACTTTTACAATTATTGATGTGTTGGTCTCAAATGACAGATTTTGCAATTTTAGTACAAACTACTAAAGAACTTAACCTTATTAATCCAGCTCAACTTAAACGAGTTAGTAAAAATTATAGATACGAAGTTAATGAACCAAGAATAACAGAAGAATGTCAACAATATATTCTTCAATTGGAAGAGGATACAGAAAGACGAAAGAAACGTTATTCAACTGAAAGTATACGGAGTGATCGAAGTGATGCTTCAAGCATTATTTTCTTAACCGTATCACCTTCATTACCTCCTTGTGCAGGACCTAATTGGGAGGAAGAAGATGATTTAATGGAAATGAAAGATAGTGAATTTTTGTTACCATTTGCCATACCAACTAGTACTGAAATGTTAGCAAATTATGGTGGTAAAGAGAGAGGAACAGACTTTGTACCTTTGGTTCCAGATGAATGGATGGAAAAATTGGATGTTGGTATGCGGCATGGTACAAGTAATTATGTTGAAGAACTCGAATCAAAATGGGAAGCTATATATGATGAAGATGATGATGATGATAATGAAGAAGAAGAAGTAATGGAAGGTGTAGGAGTAATAGAAACAAATGAAATTTCGGTTGATGATATTTAAAAATCTCGTAGAAATGTACTTCTACTTAAAGATGATTATTTATTTTAAAAGATTTTGTTGGTTATTTATTACATTATCTTTGAATAGAAGCTTTATTGTTTATATTATTTAAAATTTTTTGAGCTTGTATTCTTATTGTATTCTTATTTTGTTTTTTTTATGGTTTTCGGTCTCTCGGTGTGTACTGGCAAAATTGTAGAGAAATTAAGGAAAAGGGACTATAAGAGACTGAATAGGATTATTTTGATTTCTTAAGTCGTTTTATATAGATGGACATTTTTTTTATTGATAAATGTAACTTATTTCTTCAAAAGTTTTTTTTTTTTTTATGGTGTAAGATTTGTTAATCACCATTTTCAAGATATATATAAATTCCTTTTCTTTTATATTAAAAATTACCTTTTTCAATATTATTCCAAACAGAATATATAAATATTTATATTTATTTATTTAAATTCTTTTTTTTTGCCAGGTGTTCAAAAAAAACCACCATTCAAGAAATATTAAAAAAGAAATTGCCATCTATTAAAATTAAGTTAATTTTGTAAATTTAGATGATATCTGTCTAAACTTGTGCTAATTAACTTTATGAAAAAAAAAATAGATCCTTGGGGAATTTTTTTTTTTTTTGATTTATTCTACAATCCAATTCAATTCAATCAAGTGTAAATATTTATAGTGGGAACACTTTATTGAAATAAATAACAAATAAAAATTATATGTACAGACAAATGATACATGTAACATATGAAAAATGTATGAACAGATCATCTATCTTAAATTATAATCGTTATTTAATTGCAATATTGCAAATTGTCAACAATTATGTAATTTCAGGTCTAAAATTATTTATGCAAATGATTAAATGTTTAAACGTTCAAAAATATTATACTGAAACATTTATGATAGGCATTTCGCTTCTATATTCAAGGTTGCTTGGTATTCATTATTTTGGACGTTTTATTATTAAAAAATAAACTACATATAAAAGATCGAATGCAACTTAAGAATTTTTAAGATATCTCGGGTTACGCACATAATGCTTGACACGTGGATCAAATAAAATATAATAAAATGTATTATTAATTAAATTAAATTATAAAAATATAATGTATAATGTTTCATTAAGTTTTAACTAATCCATAAAGAATAATAACTAAATAAATTTATCAGGTGATTCGACCTGCTGTTTTGGTGGTGGGCAACATAAATTCTGAGCACATGAATCATCCTCTGAACAGCGAAGAAGACATGAATATTCATGATTCTCCTTTAAATGAAAAGAAAAAAGCAAAGACAGAAAATATTTTAATATTATTCAGTTATTAAAAAAAAATGGCATTATCATAATTTTTTTTTTTTAACTTACAATTTCATTAGGAATTAATTCAGATTCAACGGGATTTCCGGGATTTGCTACAACAACTGTACGTTCACCTCCATTAGCGTTTACATCAACCTTTATGAATTCTGGTTGTATGGTAGTAGAGTGTACACCATATGCATGAAGTAATCCTCTAATATTAGCAGCTATGGTTACGTAATCAGCTGAAGGTGCAAGTAAAACGTGTACAGATGCTATACGTTTTGTATCAGATAATTGCCATATATGAAGTTCATGAACTGAATATATTCCAGCTAACTATATAATATAATAAAATAGAATCAGATTATTATATATATTTACATATTACTGAATCAGAATAATCAGAATAATTATAATTTACTTCTTTAATCTTGACTCGCACAACATCAATGGGTATACCTGAAGGTACACCTTGTAATAAGACATACGAGGCACTTCGTACTATTAAAATTTTATTAATATTAAATTTAAACATTAAATATTTAAATCAAATATTAAAAGATTTAAAGAAATAATTTATATGTTACCTAATGGTAATGCCGTCATGAATATAATTATGGTAATAATTAAACTATAATTATTTCATAGAATATAATCGTTATAAGTAAAATTAAATTATTAGAGAATGAAAGAAAAAAAAGAAAAGAGTAAAATTGAAATGGTTAGAAAAATATAACTTACCTGACAATGGGATCAGCATAAAATCTCCATGAAAATGCTGCATATTTAATAAATAAAGCAGTAATTATCACACCTATATTACCTAATGCATCACCTAATACATGTAAAAATACTCCATGCATATTAAGACTTTTGTGACTATGACCATGACCATGACCGTGACCATGAGAGTGGGAATGAGAGTGGGAATGAGCTTTATGATCTTTAGAATGACAGTGATTAGTAGAAGTAGTTGAGTCAACAGGAGGTTGATGATTTTCTGTAGTAGTAGTAGTAGCAAGGTTGACAGTGTTGACGTTAGCCGTAGTATCAATTACAAGTTCATCCGATCCTTCATTTTCCTCAAGTTCTTGAGCTTGTGCAGGATACTCTTCATTTTCTTCCTCAAGTTCTTGAAGTTCTTGAGCGGTCTTTTGTGCAGCAAGAACTACTGATTGACGCGTTTGTGCAGGATGCACAAGAATATCGTCTAATGAAGATTCTGGTTGTTCTTCTAAATCTTTTGTGGGTTCAGTTGATATTGTAGAATGATCATGCCCAGCGTGACCATGTTCTATATAAAATAGATTGTGATAAATTAAATAAAATTAAATTAAATTAAATTAAATTAATAAAATTTTTGATAAATTAAAAAAAAAAATACATACCGTGAAACAATAAAAGTCCTATTATATTTGATAGTAATCCAGCACTTCCTACTATAAGAATCAACATTGGATTATTGATCTCTAATAATAATAATAATTAATAAAAGTAAAGTAAGTTTCAGAATTAAAACATTCATAAAAAAAAAAAAGAAAAAAAATTCAATCGATTAGAATTAAATAATTTCACCTTCTATTACAAAAAATCGTTTTATAGCTTCAATAACTATATTGAAACATAAAGCGAGTAAGAATACCCCATTTATCAATGCACCCAAAACTTCGGCACGTTGCCAACCATATGAATATTTCGGAGAAAAATCTCTTTGTGAAGCGAGCTATGTATTATATTATGTTAACACTATCGTCCAATTAATATTTACAAAAAATGACTATATATATATATATATATATTACATAACATGAAATTATGAAAGAGTTAATAATAATATATTTTGTAATATTACAATTACCTTGACAGCATATAATGCAACTATAAGACTCATAACATCGTTCAACATGTGAAAAGAATCTGCTATCAAAGCCAAAGAATTTACACTGTACCCAATAATGATCTCAATTAAAAAGAATACCGAATCAAGTATTAATAATAATGTTATACGGGTCTGACGTGACAGCATCTTTCAAAATCAAAAGTGAAAAAGTGAAAAAATGGAATGGCTAAAAAAATCTTAAATTTATAGATATTTATACATTACCAAAAAGGTTGAATTTTAGGAGATAAGATAATCTTCATTTATTTAAAAAAGACAAAATGGGAATTTGGAAGATCAATTACATAAAAGGGGACCATGTAATTTAGAGTTTCCTTTTTAAACAAAAAACTAGTTATCACGAATTAGGGGAGCTTTGTTTCACAAGATAAAACATCTCGTTTTTGTTTGTATTTGGTCAAAGCAATTTTAATATTATTCATGAGTTCTGTTCTATATCAACAAAGCAACATAAGTAAATGCATTTTTTGTAGAGAAGAACCTTCAAACCTTTCTCAAACTATGTCAGGTCTCGAGGAAGTAATCAAAGATTAAAAAAAAATATTATTTTATTGACAATATTTCTTTAGCGCATGTTATGAAATATATCTAATATAAAGAATATAAACAAATTAATTAAAATTTATTGACTTGTAGATTATATGATTGAGATAAATAATTTGGATAAAGCGAAAATATAAGTTAGAAGTTATTAATAATTTACAAATAATTTTATTTTAAAATAAAAATTGAACAAATAAAATTAAATAATTGCTTTCGATTCTTCGATAGACAATGAATTATTTTGACTTAATTCTTGAACTCTACAGTCTTTAGTCTTCGATATTTTTTATTAAAGATTTTAAACCCAATTTCATGTTCTAATTTTTATATTACATTAAGTTCAATTTATAAAGTTAATTTATAATATTTTAAATTGAAAGAAAAATATCAATTATTTTGTGAAAAATAATTGTCCATTGATTCATTAAAAAATAAAAAAGATATGTTTTTCATACGAAAGTAAATATCAATTATGTTTAATAGTAATATTCTTACAAGTAATTATCATTTGAATATTCAACTAAGCCTAATATAAATTTATCAGATTAATTAGTCATCCATGACAGGTATTTGTCCATTTTTCTTTTACAAAATAATAAATATTGTAATAAAAATAAAACGCTATACCTAATCCTGTCAATCCTGTCCCCCAAGCACAATTATCAAAGTTTTTGATCATTGTTAAAAAATATGAATGTCATTAATTATAATATAAAAATATTACTAAAAAATATTAAAATTTACTTACCAAGTGTAGTTATCATATAATCATAATATAAATCTGCACTACGTACCCAAATAGATTTACTTATGGTCGAAAGAATTTTTATTTTCATCTAATACAGCAAGATTTGGGTTAACAATAGTATAATTAAATGTATGAACACCAAAATATAATGATTTATCCATCCAGTACTATAGAAAAGTAAATAAATAATAACATGAAAATATACCTGCACATTCAAAAAAATAAAGATAAACAATCTTTCTTCTAACCACAATTGAAAAGATTTAATATTCTGAAAGGGTTTATTATATAAATTCCTACAACTAAGATGATTTACTTCATATTTTACCAAAAATTAGTGATTTAATATTGATTTTTGATTTTGTAGATTTAACATGAATAGATTTTATTATATTTAGTGATAAACTTTTTTAATTGGTAATAGACATAAGTAAAACATAGGACCATATGATGTGAGTCACTGCATCATATTATATATCTATTACGAAGAATTCCATGCTAAAATTTTACAATTATGTCTATGTTTTTATTTTTTTTTATTTTTTTTTTTAAATCCAACAGAGTCTTGCTCCAATAAACTTTTATTAATAAATTAGGTGTAAATTTTAAAGATACAGATAATTTATTTTACATTTATTGAAACTGACTAAAAATAACATTTTACTGTTCAACTCATCATTGCCTAAGTGTAATCTCAGGAACTGATGACCAAAATCCCATCAGATATAACAACTAGAAAAATGGAAACTGTTGTAAGTCCGGAGCAAAAATTTACTTTGAAATTTAATTGTTTTGAATTAAAGCAATATATTATACTACAATTAATCAATGTAATATACTACAATTAATCAATGTATCTTCTACAATTAATCAACATATCATAAAATTTGTAAAGAATTATATTTCAATAAATAAAATAAAATTTAAATATTTATTTTATATTTTAAAAATTCTTTTATTACAAAAATATAAAAACAAAATTGTTATATTTCAATATTCTCATGAATATGTAAAATATATATTACTTTTTAATGTGTCTGGTCAATCAAATTTTGAGCTTGTGATCATGATCAATCAGCAAAGGCATATTTGTACTGCTATGTAACTAATTTATCTAAGCTTTGAAGATCAGTTAATCAGTAAATAAAATTTCATTTGATTGCAAATACACTTTCATACTTATCTGTAATTTTTTCAATAAAAAAAGATAATATAATAAATATACTTACATGCAAAATTATTTTGGGATCCCAAAATTGCAATTTCAAGGGAAAAAGTTAAAATAGTTTTTCATAGAAGATGAAATTATTTTACTTAAAACCTGAAATTTTTTGACTACTCAGATTTATTCTTTGATTAAATATATATATAACTGAATATTTTTTTTACTTCTATATATAGAATAAATTTTACATAAATCTCAAAAAGTCGAAATATCTCAAAAATCCAAAATCAATTTTGGAAATATGTATAATAATGAATATTCAAAATATTTAATTTTGTGATACCTTTACAAAACGGAAAAGTAAAAGGTTTGAAACATCCGATTAATATAAAGAAAAATTCTCATGAGATTGTAAAAAGAAATATAAAAAAAGAGTATATGTCACTGTAAATAGTGGATGAAGATAAGAACAGGAAAATAATGAAATATGACAAAAAAATATTTAGCAATAAATAAGCCATAGAAATGTATTAGATATTATTGATGAACAGGAAAATAATAAGACATAGTAAATAAATACCCAGGAACAAATAAGTTATAAAAATGTATTGGATATTATTAATAAATAACAAAATATTAATATTGATTTATGGAGACTTAACCAATCTCAAAATACCAATCTACTAAATAATGTGACTAAATTTGATAAACGTAATACAGTTATCTATATTCAAAATACTGATTCACCTAATAAAGTGACTATTTTAAATGAACTCAATTGAAATTTTCTATATCAGTTTTCATTAAAATGGACAAGTTAAAGTACAATCTTTGTCTTGTATATGACAAAGTTTTTCATTAATAATGCTTGTTAAGGGACAATGTCAATATTGTTATAGTAAAAAATTTTATCTAAAAAATTCTTTGCTAAAAATAACATGGATTTGGATAAAGTATCAAAAGAATTGAATAACCTTATGAAAATCAAAGAAATGTTTATATTACAAGTATTTCTTGTAATGTCAGTCTATAGATTTCATAGAGACAATATAGGTATTATAAAAATATAATAAATTTCTTCAAGATATACAAGAGTTTATTACACAACTTTTTCAATATCTGTTATTAATAAATGTATTAATTGTATATTATCAATTTGCAAAAATAACATCATTCAAAAATTTTAATGTTTGTCACAATAAAGTTACTTAGACATTATATTGATTGAAAGTAAACAATCATTATTATGCTAATATTTTTATTGATGATGAAACCTTTCAATTTTTACCTGTGAATAACTCAATGAAAGACCAGCTTCTAAAAAATCAAATAAATAAAGAATTAAATGATGATAAGAATGATAAAAATAATAATAATTTAATCACACGCACCTTTATTCTGAGTCTCCTTTTAGCCTATTATGAAGATGTCACTATTAATGAGATACTTAGGTGTATGCAAGATAAAAACTCTTTTATAGAATGGTCACAAATAAAAAATACTTCAATAAACAAATTTCAAATATCAAATTATATTATATGCACATTTCCAATTCTTTACTTAACAGAATATACCAATCTTCAATCAGAATATATTAGAGATATTAATTTGATCAAATATTTCAAATATCTGCTTCAATACAAAGACAGGAGATTTACATGTCACACTCACTAGCAGTATTGTGTTTTAAATTCTTTGATACAATAGAGAGTACTATAAAAAGGAAGGATATACATTACATCAGGAATTTTATATAACTTTCTACAACATTATACAAACGGAACGTTCGAATAGCATTCTAGAATGACACCAATGTACTAGAACATAACGTTCTAGAACGTTATACAAACGCTCCGTTCATATTACATTTTATGAACGGCATTTATATAACATTATATATCACCGTTTTATAACGTATAATGAACTTTTCGTATTAATAATATTGTATATTGGCATCGTATATCATTAGTCATAATGGTATGAATTTTTTATAGCATTCTAGAATGGTATTTAATAATGTTAAAAGTACAAAATATTCATTTTACACTATAAAAATGATCATTTAATAAATATTTATTGTATCATTTTTTTATAGAATTTAACGTTGTTACTAGTTGACCTTTTGAACTAATTTTATTTTCCAAAAGGTAATTTACAACTAGTAACTCGTAAACAGTTGCTTTAGTTTACGAATTGAAGAGGATAATAGATGATGAATAAAAGAAATATTAAAGCTAAATACTAAAAACTAACTAAAAGGCTTAAGAATTTAAGGTCACAGGATTTTAAACTATTGACTAATGATTTAATTTTAAAGGTCAAGTTAAGAGATTAAGACAAAGAATTTAATATATTTATCAATGGTTTATAAAATAGTAACAGAAATTTATGGATCTGAATTTATATTCGAAGAATATAAATTAATAAAGGAACAGAGTTTTAATATAAAAGATATAAGTTTATTACAAAGAAAATCAATAATCCAATTACTTTAGGATTATAAAAATATTACAATTGAGATTACTTTCT